GAGCATCAGGACAGATCTTCACCATCACTGACTTCACAGCTGAACACAGTGGGAATTATTACTGTGAAGCCCAGAACGAGATGGGACGTAGTAACTCCACCTTACTTCTGATTACTGAGTCTGGTGAGTTTCTCCATGACAGGAATCGTCTGATCAACAAACAGCATCTCCTGCACGTTTATCCATGAATCAAGTCCTTCTGATGAGGTAACGTGCTGTTTGTCTAATAACTGTGTGTCTCCAGCTGTTGATAGAACAACAATGATAATTCACATCACCAGGTGGACTCTGGTCTCTGTGATGCTGATTCTTCTGCTTCTCTTTTGTCTGTGGACGAGGTAAAACAACTAGAACTCATCCTCACTGAGCTTTTACTTTGAAAAGGTCCATCAATCTATTTGTGTATCTGTTTGTTTTATGACTGAATGCAGGAAGAAGAAAGCTGTGAGCTCCACCACTGAACCACATGAGTCCAGAGAGGCTGTGGAGGTGAGACATTTGTCCTCAGAGACAGAACTCACCAAAGGGTCATCGTAGAGAGTCTTGCTGCAACAAACCACACTGCATGTTCTCCTGCAGGCTTAATGTCATTGTTGGAATGCTTCATATGAGCTTCAGTCCTTTCTTTAATATTTGTTGGGATGCTTTTAAGCCACAACAACTAAAGGTCTTGCAAACGTTTCTAGTTGTACTTGTTGTTTCACACCAGCAACAAACAAGGATCTCACACATCACACATTAATGAGAATAATTTATATTCATCCTTCCTGTCATATAGTCTCATGTATTATACATTGTTCATTCTGTACACATGACATCGTTGTAGTCTGTCCATCAGGAGACGGATCCTCCTCTGATCTTCTCACTGAGGTTTCTTCCCTTTTTTCCCTCTTGGAAGAGTTTTTTCATTGTTTGGGGAGTTTCTCTGTGCCGATGGAGGGTTTCAGGGCCGAGGATGTCGTATGTGTTCAGACTGTAAAGCCCTCTGAGGCTAATTTGTAATCTGCGATTTTGGGCTCTACAAAATAAAATGAATTGAATTGAATGCTAAGCTAGCCAACGCCATTAGCATCTTACCTCGGAGCAAACAAAGGAGTTTTTATTGGTCGTTGATGGATTCAGTCTTCCACATGTTTAATCCATAAGTGACATCAACCCTCTAAAGGCCTCTGGTCCCTAGTTACGGTTGCTAACGTAGGAGTGTACAGTGTGCGTTGGGGGAGGGGCTTAGCCGAGGGTCGGTTGTATCTGAACTGCTTCTCTGAGGCCTTTGACTCTCATCGTCTCTCCATCAGATGGACCTTCATCCTGAGTATGAGGACCTCTCAGACATGGCAGCACAGAGAGAAGACCCAGAGGAGCAGGAGGACCAGGTGTGAAGGTCAGCCAGGTGTCAGTCTGCTGCAACTCAAAACAACTTCCTGCTTCCGTTTCTGAGGAATAACTTCATGTGATCTTCTTCAGATGCAGTGAAACCAGAGGGAGACTCACCTGGACGGAGACAGGAACCAGTGGACACATTTCCCTTCAGTACCACAAGTTATTATCTGAGGTCTTTACAAAGTTAAAACTGTAGTTTTTATTTCATGCTCTTGAATCACTGTTTTTATTTTAAATGTTCTTTTATTCTTAATTGCATTGGTAGAGAACTTTGACTTTCATTGTTGCTGAAATGTGTTTTACTGTTAAACTTGCCTTAAACCATCAGAATTAGTGGCTTGTAGCAGAATATTCATGATGCTTTAATTATAGCTGTGCTGCTACATTACTTGTGTGTGTGATTTAATTGAAATCCAATAAATCGGCTTTAAGAAATACTGATCACTTATCAAGTCTTTCTTCATGGGATTAAAGGACAAAGAGCAGAAATAAAATGTATTTTATGAGCAAATGGTCTCCATCTTTAAAAATGGAAACACATAACCCCAAATGTACTTGACCACTAAAATAATGAACTGAACTAGAAGTAGAGGAAGGTTTGATTGGACTGGAAGTGTGCAGCTGATTAACGGTTTGTTCAGAAGGAGCCAGACGCTCAGGAGATTTACACCTCCTGTTATAATCACCTGTTATAACCACCTGTTATGACCTGTTATAATCACATTTTATCACATGTTACATTTCACCGAATTAAAAAAGGCTTGAAAAAAGAAAATGTATTATAAAAATTGGATCCACTAAAATGGTTTTATTTGGCTTCAGATTCAAGCATTTCTTCTAAATCCAAATTCAAAACATCTCACCATGAATTCTCCCTCACGTATGAAGGTAGATTTGTGTCTTTATTATGCAAAATAAACTGTTGAAGTTTGTAAGTAAATATATATAAACAGAGAATAAATTATTTGTTAGTTTTGCTCATAAAACTAAAATTCTCGGCTACAAAACAAAATCTTTGCGATGCGAGTTTGTAGGAAGTGGGCGGGGCTTACGCCGCTGAATGAACCAGGAGTTTCTATTGGTGGTTCGACTGGGCGCTCGTGTCTGTTTCCACCATTAAACACCGACAGTTTATATCATAATTCTTTTTGTTTGCATAATAAAGAGAGAAATGTACCTTCACACTAACGTGGCCGAACATCTCTTTGGGAGATGGTTCCACCGGCTTCTTCAGGTCTCCTCGGTCCGTGGACGGAGACAAAGTCATCGTGTCCACTGACGGAGGAGCAGAGACACAACAGCAACATCTGGAGTTTCATCCTGAATGAATCTTCTGACTGAATCTTCTCCGTAAAAACGTTGTTAAACTGGACTTTACAGAACAAATGAAGGAGCAACAAGTTGTATTTAATGAGTGACTCAATCATCCTTTTTGGAGGAGACAAAGTAAAGACATTAAACCTCAGACATCAAACATTATACTAAAGGTTATTACACACATTTGAACTCTTTTCTCACCTCAAGAGCAGATTTCTATTTCATTTTATGATCATAATCCGATGTGTCACATGATCAGGACTGAATCTCTCACTGCGATCAGCAGTTTAAATACAAAGATTTTATGTATAAATATAAATAAATCCTAATCTGTATGAACTCTGTTTCCTTAAAAGCACACAGTCACACAACGAACATTCAAGTAATCAAACTTCCTGAAAAGGGAAGAAATCCGACGGCTTTGACCGTGTGAAGGATTATTAACGCAAACAACTAAATATCCAAATAGGAAAAGATGCTTCTACAATATCAGATACAAGAACGGGACCAAGTATATACTAATATGTATATATATATATATATATATATATATATATATATATATTAAATTGTGCCATGACGCACAGCACTTAACACTGGACTGGTATTAAGAAGTTAAATTATGATCATTATGATGTCATCATACTATCATTATTATTAATGTTGGTTCATTTATTGTTAAGACTTAAGGAGCTGCTTTGTGTCACATGACCAAAACAATCATTTCATGCTGTCAGTTTATTTGATCTTCATTTTGTATATTTATTCACTCCCATGATTCCCGTCGCTGCAGCGTTGAAGCGATTGTCGGATTCTTGAGATTCGATCGATTAAATTTAATAATCTCGGCGTCTTTCTTGAAGTGAAGAAACAAAGAGGAGGACGACGACAGACTGAAGCAAAGAGCAGCTTCCAGATGTGGAACCCGGACAGGATGTTTGCAGGTAAACAAGTAACAGCTGAGCATAAAAACGCCGCGTGCTGCTTTGTGTGATTGTGCGACTGCAGTCAAAGTGACACAACGCAGACACACTAAGCAGCGACGCGCCAATGGCTGAATGAGGAGTGAGCCCACGCTGTCACGTGCAGCACAAAGCCGCCCACCTTGATTAATAAATCAGTCATCTCCTCATGGACGTCTAATTTATATTTTAAGTTCAAATATTTCACTTGTTGAGTTCATGAACGCAGCACTATTATAAGCGTCAAACTGATGCAATTGTGCTGAATTACAAATATGTCAAATCGGACCCCATTCAACGTCATTTTATCAAGTAATATGGTCGCAAATGATGTGATGTACAGAGTTTATTCCTTGGTGCTTATTCTATATTAAGTTATTATGTTCCGTCCCCCCACTTGAACAACAGGGTCGACTTAGTGCTTCTAATGTCATCAAAATCTGCATATTTCTCCGTAGTCGCTTAACAGGTGCTTCAAAGGATGTTTAAAGGAGTGGCTGTTTTTTTAATTACGCTATTTAGGTAGTCAATAAGTTCCTAACACATAAACCGGGAAAAAAATGTATTATGATCATTTTCTAGGCGTTTAAATTGCTGGGGTTAGAACATTTGAAGGTAACAGGAGGGTTAAAAGAGAATACATTATACATTATTACCTTATTCCGTACTGCATCCTCCGATGTTTCCCCCAATAAGAGAATAAAATACACGATGGACGTCCACGTGTCGCTCCTCTGGTTCCAGGAGGGTTACTTATTGATTTATTCATACGGAAGTCATTTTTGTCCTCCATACAAATCAGTTACCTCACGTTGATCCTCATTTCTTCAGGATACCCACAATTGTTACGGTCCGTGTAGGTACCAGTTCTTAACAGCAGGTGACATTGTTCAGCCGTTTTAGCAGGATTTAAATCGAACCATTTTAACGACGTTACATATATATACAGTACATACTTTTTAATTTAAATATACATTTGTATTACATTTTTTTTAAATATCTCATATTCTCTTTGATTTTAATTGCTCCTGTCCAAACATTTACAAAATAAACAGAATATATCTGTGAATATGTTTGCGTATTTAGCTGCAGACATGGCAACCCGCACACACGACGTGTCACCACCACGTGAACACCTACAGCCGGAAGCCCGGTGTCAACAAAAATGAGCCACGTGACCAACTCGGAACTATTTAAACACGGTCCTGTCAGGTGTGCGAGAAGCAAAACGCGAATTATCGACAGAGAAACACAACATCATGGTTCCTAATTCCCGCCCCCTTCTCAACCGTATTTGTGAGCGTGTACCGGATGTGACCCCTCGACCGATGACGCGTTTGCCCGGAACTCGTTGATGTCTCGTTCTTGACTCAAGACCCGGAAGCCAAGGCTCGCTGCTACTTGACGAAAGCTCAAACAGCCTCAAAACGCACCGTTACGGTTCTGATTTGATTATAAACGACGTCACTAAAGGAGCGACACTCCTCGCTGGAGGACCGGCGTCACTGTAACGCGCCTCGCGTACCGCTACGGCCGCTAGCCTACTTGTTTTTTTAGCCATCTAGCAGGATCGTCGTTCGCTGACGTTAGCCGCTGGTTAGCTGCCTGGCGATGGACGCGGCTCGCGGCGGCGGTGCTGTGGCCGGATGTCTGCTGCTGCTGCTGCTGCTGCTGGCCGGGTGCGACGCGAGGATACACAAGCTCAGCCTGCAGGTAAAGACGGCTGTGCCGAACTACAGGTGTGCTGCCTGTGAGGTAGCAGCTAGCTGCGCGGGCTGGACTCCTCCAGCCATCATTCCGCTGGCTAGCTAGCTTGTTAGCTAGCATTTAATCGTCACTCCAGCAACGTCACATCTGTATTACTTCGAAGATATAAGTAATATAAGATGATTCCTTGTTATAGATTAAACTGCCAGTAGTGTACAAAGGTATTCAAACTTATCATTGATGCTCCAAGTAAACAACGCTGAGCCAGAGGGATTAATCGATAAGCCTCATTGTGTAGATGGATCGTTTATTGTTATGGAGCGATCGCTCTGTGGAAAGTAACAGCAAACAAGTACACAGATAGTACATAAACAGTTAGTGTCTAATGGTCATAGTACCTAAACATTGATTTCAAGGAAGTAGATTGGCCCCGTTGTCATGGTAACATCCAGCTGATTGATCCGCTTCAGAACCCATATTTAAGTAAAGTATCACTACTCTGTGGTAATACTGCTATCTGTGAGTACGTGCTGTACGCGTTAAATGACGGCTCCTCTGTCTCGTCCCCAGAATGAAACTCGCTTCGTTGTGGACCTCAACACCTTTGGTTTCTACGGTAACGGGACCCTGGACGTCAACCTGCTGTCCCTGCGCCTCCCGGAGCAGGCGGTGAACTACAGCCTTCACCCCGTAAGGACGGGTGGAGTTTAGCTCTCTGATCTACGTCAGGCTCGTTTACTTTAAAAGAGCTTATGTTCACAATGCACCACACACACACACACACACACACACACACACACACACACACACACACACACACACACACACACAGCCCTCAGTGGAAGTTGTGTTGATGGGTGACACCCTCTCTGCAGGTGGGCTTCACCCTCTCGCGGTCCCGTGTCAACGGAGTGCTGTCCTACACGGTGAGTGTCCCGGACGGTGCTGGTCAGTACGTCTGGGCGGTGCTGACTGCTTGTGTTCTGTCCACAGGCGGAGGAGACGGAGACGTGTCCACTCACGCTCACCAAGTTCACCAGCAACGAGCCCCTCATCCTCTTTCTCCTTCACTTCGACACGTCCAGGTGTGTGTGTGTGTGTGTGTGTCATTGTGTTACTACGGACTAATGTAATGTAATGTGTGTGTGTTTGTGTGTGTAGTGTCAATGTGAGAGCTTTGGGCGACCAAGACAACGTCCTGGTAGCAAAGACCAAGACGCCTAAAGGTCAGTGTCTCTTACTGCTTCTCCACTGCTACGTCTCCGTTTAACACCTCTGTGCTACGTCCACGCCGCTACGTCCACGCCGCTACGTCCACGCTGCTACGTCTTAGTTTAACACCTCTGTGCTACGTCCACGCCGCTACGTCCACGCTGCTATGTCTTAGTTTAACACCTCTGTGCTACGTCCACGCTGCTACGTCTTAGTTTAACACCTCTGTGCTACGTCCACGCCGCTACGTCCACGCCGCTTCGTCCACGCTGCTACGTCTCTGTTTAACACATCTGTGCTACGTCCACGCCGCTACGTCCACAATGCTATGTCTTGGTTTAACACCTCTGTGCTACGTCCACGCTGCTACGTCTCAGTTCGCCACATTCAGAACATCTTTAGATGAAGCACCTCATCCCACCAAACGTCACTACTGTCCCTTTAAGGAGCCGCAGGAGTGATGTCATCGTCTGAAGCCGCATTCCTTTGTATTAAAGTATCTACTTGCTTCCTGTAGCTGCTGCTGCCACAGCAGCCAAACCAGCGCCGACCCAGCCGCAGGACGGGTTGGACCACAAGGAGCCGGAAGCCACGTCGGTGCCTCACGATTCGCATATGCAGGTAGGAGGCGCTGCGGCGCCGAGCGTCTGCGCCCTGTGGCGAAGCCCAGTTGTGATGTTGTGATCCGTCCTCTGCTTCAAGCTGGAGAACCTCAAACAAGTCACCTTGGCTCTGGACAAAAGCAACGGCTCCTACAGCTTCAGCGTAAGCCCGCCTCCCTCCCCGCTGTGCGTCATGTGACCGGGTGTTTGACGTGTTGTACCGACGCGTGTCGTCCCCCCACAGTTCAAGCTCGTGGTCGGCCCGCTGGCGGAGGGTCTGTACACCCTGAAGTTCCACTACTGCAGGAACCGGGTACCCGGGATCAAGCTGCCGTACTCGCTGGCCGTAAGTACCCGTGCGTGTCTCAACACGTGGCGCTCGGCTGTGCACGTGAGCTGACGCCCCACACGCACACTCTGCAGGTGAATGTGACGGAGAGGAACCCGGGCGGCTTCCTGTCGGCGGCGGAGATCCCCCTCTCTCGCCTCTACATCGGCATGGCGGGGGTCTTCTTCGTGGCGGCGATGGTCTGGATCTACACCCTCATGAAGCACAGGTACGCTGTGTAGCTGCTGTAGCGTTAGCTTAGCATAGCACCGATCCAACCAGACTCCTTTAAAATAAAAAGCACTTTAAGTTATTGACTCATCGTCTCGAGGAGAGAGACATTTTATTGTGGTTAAATCTCTTGAGTCCATCCAGCTGTTGGACGTGTGAAACGGCTTCCTAACGGAGACCGGCTGCGTTGTTGTTCTCTGTCATGTGATCATCTGTCCTGCAGGTACAGTGTGTTTAAGATCCACTGGCTGATGGCAGCGCTGGCCTTCACCAAGTCCACGTCCCTGGTGTTCCACAGTGTGAGTGCATGGACGCCGTCTGTCCTCTGCAGATACTTTAGTACACCGTCAGCATCCATTAGTCCATCAGTAGATTAACAAGTGGTTCAAACCAATTATTTGTCTTCGTGTGTCTCTGTCTCTCAGATAAACTACCACTTCATCAACACTGAGGGGCATCCCATCGAGGGCTGGGCCGTCATGTACTACATCACACACCTGTAGGTACCTGTCCTCCAGCGTGCAGCTGCACAGTGACGTCCACTGAGAAGGTCTGTGTGTGTCCTTCCAGGCTGAAGGGGGCGCTGCTCTTCATCACGCTGGCACTCATCGGTACCGGCTGGGCCTTCGTCAAGTACATCCTGTCTGACAAGGAGAAGAAGATCTTCATGATCGTCATCCCTCTGCAGGTGTGTGTTGTGGGGGGGGGGGCAGGGGGTAGAAGGGGGCGGTGGATCTGTTTTGGTGACCCACTCACCTGTCGTCCTCCAGGTCCTGGCCAATGTGGCCTTCATCATCATCGAATCTACGGAGGAAGGCACCAGCGAGTACTACCTGTGGAAGGAGATCCTCTTCCTGGTCGACCTGCTCTGCTGCGGAGCCATCCTGTTCCCCGTGGTCTGGTGTGTGTGTGTGTGTGTGTGTGTGTGTGTGATGAAATAAAATAATGCAAGTTCATCCGCCGTAAGAAAGAACGTTCACAAATGTCCTGTTGGTCCTCAGGTCCATCCGTCATCTCCAGGAGGCCTCCAGCACCGACGGAAAAGGTCTGACCCTGAACCTCCTCACGCAGGTCTGCGTGGAGCCTCAGGAAGCTAATCTCTCTCTCTCTCTCTCTCTCTCTCTCTCTCTCTCTCTCTTCCAGCCGCCATGAACCTGGAGAAGCTGAAACTCTTCCGGCATTATTACGTGATGGTAGGAGAAGGTTTACTCTGATGATGATTCTTCTACTGTGACGGAGCTGACGGAGTTTTACTGACCGTGTCCTCCTCAGATCGTGTGCTACATCTACTTCACCAGGATCATAGCCATCCTGCTGAAGGTCACCATGCCCTTCCAGTGGCAGTGGTGCTACGAGGTGAGACCAACGTGGTCCTTGTTGTTTGATGCTAATGCTAATGCTAGCTGCTGGGCTCCAGTGTAACCCCCCCCCCTCTCACCAGTTCCTGGTGGAGGTTTCCACTCTGGTCTTCTTTGTGCTGACGGGCTATAAGTTCCGTCCAGCTTCCAACAACCCGTATCTGCAGCTCCCTCAGGACGAGGAGGACGTGGAGATGGACGAAGTGTAAGTTCAGCTCCGTCAATCCCACAGTCAATCAATAAGTCGGTCGCACAGTATAATTGATGGTTGCCCCCCCCCCCCCCCTCTCTCTCCCCCAAAATGGATGAGTCTGGAGCTCTGGGAAGGATCTCCCAAGTCCAGAAAAAGTGTAACGGACGAGAGCGGCAGAAAGAGTTCACACTGTGAACAACCAGCTGCCGCCTAATTATTTCTTTTGTGGGGGGGGGGGGGGGACTAAAGACCCTCACTGGTACTCGGGGGATGGGGATGGGGGTGAGGGGGGGGGTTCTCCCCCAGTGACATAAACTCTGGTGGTCATGTCTGCTATGCAATAGAGAGAACGGCTGCAGACAAGCAGATGTCCTCCCAACATCCTGTGCGTGTGTGTGTGTACGTGTGTGTGTGTGTGTGTGTGTGTGCGCGTGCGTGCGTGTCTGTGCGTGCGTGTGCGTGTGCTCTCAGGTTAGCGGTTGATGAATATCTTTGTGTTTCTCAAGTGGCAGCGTGTCATCGGCTGTTATCAACGTCATAGAGGCTCCTCCCCCCCTCCCCCCTCCCTCCCCCTTGTGACGTGAATTAAACATTTTCAAGTGACACAAAGTCTTAGTTTACGTGACCATTAGCTTAGCTTGGCTAGCTCACTAGCTTAGCCACATCCCAAACGCATGAGCGTCCTCTCTGAATCCCTTTTACCGTTCGGACGTTTGATTGACACGTCTCTCCTGTACATATTTTAGTTTTACGTTGCCGTGGCGCGCTGTGTGAAGGGGGCGGGGCTTGGCTTCTCCTGTGTATGGCTGAGATACTTAAGCCCCGCCCTCTCCTCCCCATCACTTCTGAATCCACCTTCTGGCTTTTGACCTTTGCTCTTGATGTGAAGCTTATATTCTGACTTCAGAGACGTTTCATGGGTTCCTTGAGGACGAGGAACCGTCAGACCGGCCGAGGTCCCGCCGGTCTGATGGTTCCTTGAGGACGAGGAACCGTCAGACCGGCCGAGGTCCCGCCGGTCTGATGGTTCCTTGAGGACGAGGAACCGTCAGACCGGCCGAGGTCCCGCCGGTCTGATGGTTCCTTGAGGACGAGGAACAATCAGACCGGCCGAGGTCCCGCTGGTCTGATGGTTCCTTGAGGACGAGGAACCCTCAGACCGGCCGAGGTCCCGCTGGTCTGATGGTTCCTTGAGGACGAGGAACCCTCAGACCGGCCGAGGTCCCGCTGGTCTGATGGTTCCTTGAGGACGAGGAACCCTCAGACCGGCCGAGGTCCCGCTGGTCTGATGGTTCCTTGAGGACGAGGAACCCTCAGACCGGCCGAGGTCCTGCTGGTCTGATGGAGCGTCACAATAAAACGCTGCTGTTCTGAAAGTTGTTTTTAATCTTTTTTTTTCTGGCCTGTTTTTCTTCTATTTAATGTTTGTTCTCATGAGGTTTTTTTCCTTCATGTTGAGTTCTACTTTAGTAAATTAAACATGTGTGAAACTTTAAGGTCAACGCAAATTATTTATGGACGACGTCCAATAAAAACTTCTTAATTTCATTTTTCTGAAGATGTTTGTTTTCAAGTTGTTCTGTTTGAAACCTGTTAATTAAACCGACAAATGTTCTTCAGCGAGGTCTCATTGTTGAGCTGCATACATTTTGGGGGTCAAAGGTCACTGTGACCTCACCTTTTGGCCCATGATTGATTTGCTCGTTGTGATGATGTCTCGCCATCGTCCACGGGATGAAAGAGTCCTGCCCCACAATGCAATGCGCTGCCTGGAGCGCGCGTGTCATCAGTGTTCTGATACTCTGTGTTATTGATTGATGGGCCGTGATGCTGCTGTGACTCCGATTGGATTGGAGATTGGTCTCCAGGAGAGGAGGAACATCTCAGCAGGTTGTTCCCTCAAAGGGTCCCGTGATGGAGATCTAACGGCGCCTTGATGCTCTGGGACGTCGAACGGACTCGAGCGTGCGTCTGGATGGTGAGGAGCATCTGGAGACGAGATGTTTGATGCTTTAACGGAGGGAAGACTTCACCACTGGTCGGATGAGGTCTTCATCAGTCTAACGCATCTGAATAAATGGAAGCTGATCCAGAGATTAAAACTGTCAAGTATTACTTCATTTATTTTACACGGCCTTTAAAGTCCCTTTGTGTCATTTTAAGTCAAACGTTCAGTTTAGACTGAAGAGACACAAAGAACTGGCTGAATCTCATCACGTACACGTGTGTGTGTGTATATATGTATACATGTTATTTAGTAGTACTTACAGCTCACTCAGTATTCTCCCTTGAACCGTTGTACATTGTGTCCTGTAGGACCACACTAGGCCAGAATTTGGCACACACGTGCTCTTGGACACGCTCTACAGAGCAAGAAGTCAATCTAAATGCGCCTGACTAGATTTTCCGCCATTTTGAGTTTGGTGAAAAAGACGTTTTTGTGCTGTGATTTCTCCCGAGTGTCAGAACCCTCGTGTGGATCGTTGTTGGGTCAAAGGTCACTCGAGCCAACATGTTGTCTTATTGGTTTGAGAAGTTACGGGCTGATGAACTTTGCAGGGCTGTGGTTAATCTAGCAAGTCACAGGAATGGTTTGGGTTAGTTAGGGTTAGTTAGGGTAACAAATAATAACTCTCCACACATGTGAACATTGAACCCCTGAACACACGCACACACGTTTCCTAATATCTGAAGAAAAGGGGGCGCTGCGGTTAATGGTTTTTAGTCTATTTTCATGTTTTTTCATGATGTTTTTTTTAAAAACACCATTTGGCATGATTGCAGTTTTAACTCGACCAAACTTTATCTAATCTGCTCCATATTTCTCGTATAGCATGAACTTCTCGCCCTGCAGACCTCCATGACATCATTGTAGCCTCGCTCATAGCGCCACCTGGGGGAACAGGAAGTTAAATGTGTGTTTTATTTTACACCCTGCTCCTCACAGGTCAATCTGACCCAGCAGAGACGTTAAAAACGCTTCACTGTGAATATTATAAGAATCTGATGCTTCACCAAGAGCAACACAACCGCTGTGACTCTACTGGACATCATCGGATTCTTTCCAATTCACACGTTTGATGAGGCCTGAAGAGATGCAAAGCTGAATCAAGTCATAGCGCCACCTACTGGTAACAGGAAGTCACATTTTCTGGTATCAAGTAAAAAACGAAGGTGGAATTTCAAGAGGCTTTAATTTCTAAATTGGTACATGAGAATGTCCTGGTTATCATCGAGCGACCCCTCGGGGATGTGTTCTCTCTGCCGGCAGTGGAAAGACTGTAACTATTCATGTTCTCCTTTTAAATCTCATCTGAAATTGACCAGACGTGGTCTTGTGATTGATATTTTGGCTCATTTATGGCATTTTGAGAGGCTTTAATTTTGGAATAGCAGATCAGAATGTCCTGCTCATCCCCGGGGAAGAGTACTGTCGGTCTGAAGTGAAATTATCATGTAACTATTGATAGTTTCCTTTTAATTCTAACCTGATGTAGTGTGGTGATACGCGTGTTGTGTGGAGGCCTCAGAGTGCGTCAGAGAGCATCATGGAGACCAAGGAGCTCACCTTCAGCTCACAGATGAAGCTCTACCTACATATGAAGCCGGGTCAGGTTACGAAAAAGATCCCACGCTTTGAACATTTCACAGAGCAGCAAGTTCACTTTTTGGCCTCGATGCAAAACGCACGATAAGAGAAGAAAGAACATTAATATATAAATATGCATATGTTTATAAATGTAAATATATATATACATATATAAATATATATGTATATATATATATATATATATACGTATAAACTATATTTATTTATGTATATATACAGTAAGTAAAGCAGAAAGAAAGTACAAATATTCATATGTATATATTTATAAAATCATTTTCTTTTTTTAGCTTGTGCTGAGAGCAGACTTCATCACGCAGACTGCAGCACGCCATGTGACCCCCCCCCCCCCCCCCTCACTGCGGTCCGTCCAGGGTGCAGCAGACTGCAGTCTCCCTCCCTCACTGCACTGCTCCTCACGCTGCTGGGACCATGTGAGTACTGCCTCTCAGCTCTTCTCCTTATCATGATCATGTATGTGTCTATACACATACACGTATGTATGTGTATGTGTATGTGTGTACACATATACACACATATGTACATATATATATATATATATATATATGTATGTGTGAATATGTAACCCTAATAAAAGGGAACTCAGCTGCTGCCTCAGACGTTCAGCTCGTTGAACATTTGTCTTGAACCGGTTCTGTTTCTGGTCTTTAAAGAACCGACGAGACACAACGAACGGTTCACCGGGTTCGCTGGTGACCTCAAAACGCCTTTGATGTTGCGAGCTGAGGATGAGGAGGAGGATGAAGATGAGGATGAAGCAGATCTCTCTGTCTTTGCGCCACATTTAGTCTCTCAGTGCACATGCTCGCCCTCACTAAGCTTTAAAGGTCTTTGACAACAGTCCTCTGACATGATGATGCTTTTTATTGATTTTAGTTACTGAAGTTCTGAAGAATAAGATCTCGCATGTATGTTTGGGGAATAAGTACTTCAGCAGTAACACACTGTGTAAAAGTATTAATCAGCTGAGCATCTCCCTCATGTTCTTTCACTGTAATATTACATGATCATGTAATATTACAAAAAATAGTACTAATAGTAGTAGTACTAGTACTGCTTGTTCACACAGAAACAAAATGGATCTTAAATGGTTCTAAAAGATGAGCGAGGCTCCACTTTATTTATTGGGTGGTTCTTCATGTTTGTCACGTTTCAGGGGTTGTTAACAAGCTCTGCTTAATATGCAAATATGTAATAAATGTTTGAGTTATTGTATGAATTACGAATAACTTACCGTGGGCCTGGTGTAGTACCCTGCTATAAAATATATCATATATTAATATATAAATATACCATACAATATAAATATGTTATATTGCAGTGGTACAGTCCTATAGGAGACGGGCAGTGGTACAGTCCTAGAGGAGACAGTGGTACAGTCCTATAGGAGACGCGCAGTGGTACAGTCCTATAGGAGACGTGCAGTGGTACAGTCCTATAGGAGACGGGCAGTGGTACAGTCCTAGAGGAGACGGGCAGTGGTACAGTCCTATAGGAGACGTGCAGTGGTACAGTCCTATAGGAGACGGGCAGTGGTACAGTCCTAGAGGAGACAGTGGTACAGTCCTATAGGAGACGCGCAGTGGTACAGTCCTATAGGAGACGGGCAGTGGTACAGTCCTATAGGAGACGGGCAGTGGTACAGTCCTAGAGGAGACAGTGGTACAGTCCTATAGGAGACGCGCAGTGGTACAGTCCTAGAGGAGACGCGCAGTGGTACAGTCCTAGAGGAGACAGTGGTACAGTCCTATAGGAGACAGTGGTACAGTCCTATAGGAGACGGGCAGTGGTACAGTCCTATAGGAGACAGTGGTACAGTCCTATAGGAGACGTGCAGTGGTACAGTCCTAGAGGAGACGCGCAGTGGTACAGTCCTATAGGAGACAGTGGTACAGTCCTATAGGAGACGGACAGTGGTACAGTCCTAGAGGAGACGGGCAGTGGTACAGTCCTAGAGGAGACGCGCAGTGGTACAGTCCTATAGGAGACGGGCAGTGGTACAGTCCTATAGGAGACGGGCAGTGGTACAGTCCTAGAGGAGACAGTGGTACAGTCCTATAGGAGACGGGCAGTGGTACAGTCCTAGAGGAGACGGGCAGTGGTACAGTCCTATAGGAGACGGGCAGTGGTACAGTCCTATAGGAGACGTGCAGTGGTACAGTCCTAGAGGAGACGTGCAGTGGTACAGTCCTAGAGGAGACGCGCAGTGGTACAGTCCTATAGGAGACGCGCAGTGGTACAGTCCTAGAGGAGACGATGTGCGCTGACTGTGATGGATCTTCTGCTGTGTTCCTGCAGGGCTTTCCTCTCCATGTTTGCGTTGGCGGCCGTTGTGCTCTCTGCCGGAGGAAGTGTTGGGTGAGTTAACTGATCTCATGAGATCGAAACTACTCAAACCTTGTTTAAAAAAATCAAGATCTTTAAGGGACAGCACTGAGGGGAGGTGGTTTGAGGTACAAACAGTAGTACCTGGATGTTTGTCCGACAGGCCGAGTACCAACAGCAGCTTCTGCACCGAGTCCAAGGAGTGCCTGGAGTACCAGCTGGTCTGCAAGACTGACGAGTACGAGGTGAGCGGACCTCCGGTCGGCCGTCAGGACGCCATAATCCGCCCATCGCTTCTGACAATGTGTGTGTGTCTGCATGTGTGTTCAGGTGCGACACTACAGCCCCACCCGTTGGGTGTCCACTGACGCAGAGGCCTACTTCATGGGCGTGGGGGCAGCCATGGCCTTCAGGAGACTCTTCCAGTACATCACTGGAGCCAACGAGGGAGGTGAGGTCACACAGGGTGGATGGGGGGGGGGCGGGCCCCCGCTCAGCATTGTGTTCATTGCCTGTGTGTGTGTGTGTGTGTGTGTGTCAGGCTTCCAGATGGAGATGACCGCCCCGGTACTGGTGAGAATCCAGGAGGAGACCCGGATGTGGGAGCCGGCCGTGTACTCGCTCAGCTTCCCGCTGCCGGCCGCCTATCAGGAGGAGCCGCCGGCGCCCACCAGCGACAAGGTGAGCCCCCCCCCCCCCCCCCTTCCCCATCTGGGCTCAGTGCTATGCTAAGCTAGCAACCCGGAAAAACATTGTAATCTAGACGTAAATGATGTTTACACACATAATATCTACCGAAAAAAATACATAAACTCATCCCCGTTTTTAAGATTTCCACAAGAATCATTACAACGTTGGAGAATCTCACTTCCATGCCTCACATTGTCTCAACTGTACTTCACGGAGATGCCGGAAATGGACGTCTACCTGAGGAGCTACGGCGGCTGGATGCTGTCGGTGACGTCGCGGCTTCACGCTCACCTGCTGAACAAAGAGCTGGGGAGGGTGGGGGCTTCCTACAACCACAGCTTCCACTACGGGGTCGGCTACGACAGGTTAGCTCCCCGCTGGTTAGCGCTTAGCATCTAACACATCATAGATATGTTTATAACACACTTTAGTATAATGATGATGATCCTAATGTGTGTGTGTGTGTGTGTGTAGTCCCCTCAAACTGTTGAACAGGCACAATGAGGTTTGGTACGTGGCCGAGGGGGATCCGGTCTGCAAGGATCCACAGGAGCCGACCCCCGCACACACCCCCAGGGTCACTCCTCCCAACTCCCCCACAGACTCACCAACCGAGCCCCTCCCCCACACTCTCTATAGCTCACCCGCCCTCCCCCCCTCCAACGTTTCCTCACCCTCCTCTTCCCCCGTAGCGCCCTCCGACACCCCCGCAGCCCCCCCGTCCAGCGCTCTGCTTGGCTCCTCCTCCGACGCCCCCATCCAGGTCTCGCAGGACCTGACCGCCAACTCCACGGCCTCCGGCTCCGCCATCTGGTCCCCGGAGTACGTGGGGAACGGCACAGCCGGCGGGGGCTCAGCCCTGGAGGCCGGCGCCGCCCAGTAGCTTCAGGGGGATTTACAGTGTGAGTCTGAGTAGAAAGAAGCAGGTGTTCCTGTAGCTCCTCCTCTAGGTATGTTCTCTGCGCCCTATCACAGCGTTGCACCTGCAGCTTCCTGTCCGCTCTGTAGTTCTGAGCTTATCAGCCGCTTCATAGAATTAGATAAGACATGTTCATCGCCACGGTTACGGTGTGGAGTTCAAGCTTAAAACTAACGAGCAGCTATAAGGAGCTCCATGGAGCCTGCTCAGTGACACGGTGACCTATCAGAGGAAACACTCCATGTCACTCGCCATTCTTCTTCTTCAGTCAATATGCTACCAGCCTCTTGTCTGCGTCCGGCTTCCTGTCCGCTGATCTCGTGATATTTGAGCTGCTATGTTGGACAATCATCATGGTCGTTAGGATCATCTTCCTAGAGCAGTAATACTGTACGGCATCTGAAGAAGGAGAGGTTGTGACCTTTACCTTCTGACTTCTTCTCCTTCTACATCCTTTACCAGGGGTGCCCAATAGGTCGATCGCCAGGCAGTGCCAGTAGATGTCAGGTGACCACGCATGCTCCAATGGAAAACTTGGTAGTGCTAATTAGCGATCCTTGCTTACTAACGGACACATTTCATTTAAGAGCAACACCGACTCCAATCAAGTCATCCAGTAAGGTGATGACCATCGTCTGACAGATGAGCGGCTCCTTGTTTTTTATATTGATTTGTGAACTCACATGATGTAGCGTTGTTGTTCCGTTTGATTACCGCTACTACCCCCCGTCGCCTCGCCGCGGCTTGGTCGATTGAAAAGGGTGGGCACCCCTGTCCTATTCGATGATTTCTTCTTCTACTACATCCTACACTATGAGCTACGTCGCTAGTTAGCATTGATCTCTAGCTGAGCTGCGCAATAAAAACATGTGACTAACTCCTGGTATCGCTGGTGTCTTTGACTTCCTTTATGATGCTCTACTTGGGATGATTGTGGAGACTGATGCTTGCCTTCATCGGCTCAGGGAGAACGTCTTTCAAACCAACCGCCGTGTCTGATTGGATGACCTGGAGATTCTCCCAATCTGCTCTGTGACGAACAAAGGTGTCGGAGGCGAGGCTGTGTGTTCTTACTTTAGCTTTTAGCCTTTACAGTTACCCCAAAAACCTCTTAAACGCCCTCACAGCTCACGCCATCAGAGCAATCAAAGGAGCCGTCACACTTCACAGCATCTAATCAGAACCCAGCGTCCAGTCGGAGCCTAGCGTCCAGTCGGAGCCCAGCATCCAGTCGGAGCCTAGCATCCAGTCGGAGCCCAGCGTCCAGTCGGAGCCTAGCGTCCAGTCGGAGCCCAGCATCCAGTCGGAGCCCAGCATCCAGTCGGAGCCCAGCATCCAGTCGGAGCCCAGCGTCCAGTCGGAGCCCAGCGTCCAGTCGGAGCCCAGCGTCCAGTCGGAGCCCAGCGTCCAGTCGGAGCCCAGCATCCAGTCGGAGCCCAGCGTCCAGTCGGACCCCAGCATCCAGTCGGAGCCCAGCATCCAGTCGGAGCCCAGCGTCCAGTCGGAGCCCAGCGTCCAGTCGGAGCCCAGCGTCCAGTCGGAGCCCAGCGTCCAGTCGGAGCCCAGCATCCAGTCGGAGCCCAGCGTCCAGTCGGACCCCAGCATCCAGTCGGACCCCAGCGTCCAGTCGGAGCCCAGCGTCCAGTCGGAGCCCAGCGTCCAGTCGGACCCCAGCATCCAGTCGGAGCCCAGCGTCCAGTCGGAGCCCGGCGTCCAGTCGGAGCCCAGCATCCAGTCGGAGCCCGGCGTCCAGTCGGAGCCCGGCGTCCAGTCGGAGTCTCGGCTCATCGGTCATTAGTCAGCAGAGTGAAAACAGTCAGGAAGAAGTGATCATTAAACAAAGAGGAAGGAACGAGAGAAGCAGCCTGACCAGTTTAATCCAGTTTGTTATTCCTCACATGAACGCTGGTCTGAAACACAACAACTTTTTATCCACTTATTGAATCTTGGTTTGTTTGGATTGAAATCTCATGAATAAAAGCAGATGTGCCGTCATTATTCATCATAAACACCTTTCTTTTCTTTAACGCTGTTACAGATACATTATTAAAATAACAGGAAATAACCCAGCAGCTTATTAGCCGCTATTGGTCCCAAAATTAAGAAAACAAATCTTCTATTTATTAACAGTGTTCCCACAGTGAGAAAATATAAAAAAAAGGCAATTTTCTGTTATTTAATTCAGATTGGATATCTGTGGCGTTCAGCGGCTCTCAGTGGGAGTTTGAGCTGCATCTTCATGAGCTGAAGAAGAAACCGTAACATTTCATCATGTGACTTATTGAAGGGATTCTATTTGCCGTGTTGAGACGCGTGTCTGCAGGAGGAACCTCTGTGGGTGGAGCCGCTGCCTCCGTCAGGTAGTCTGTCTCTGGTGCTGGTGTCCGACCCACAGACCAGGTATCTGTGACGCCACTGGTAGCAGACAGGTAACAGCGGCTGACCTCAGACCACACCCACCTGTCACTCAAAGAGGCCACGCCCTCAGCATACTTTAAACAGGTGAGATGTATAGAAATCTCCCCCATCCCGTTGTCATGAGCAGGTTTATTAGCTATAGAGACCAAAGTCAGCTCACAGTTTATGTTGTACGTAACGTTGGGCGTTTTAACGTCGAGGTCTCTGGGGAGACGGTTGCTGCTGGATGTGATCTGACCCTGTAGACAGAACCGAGACGTGAGAGCTCAGTTTCTATGAATGAAGTCTGGTGTGTTTGCAGGTGATGGGGTGAAAGTATCCGCCCGCTGTAGTGACCCTTCTAAACGTCAGTACTGACACTTTAATGTATCCGAGGACCAGCTCACATCGTCATCATCATCTTCCTCATTAGCTCAGTGTTTGCTAATTAGCGTCTGACGATCACACCCATATAATGTCCACAGAACTCCTCAGTTATTAGAAGGAAGCAGCATCTCTGCTTCATGCTTCGCTCTGAACAGACCTGGAGGTCTCGAGTCTCTCGTTCGACCCGATGTAGGAAACTGCTTTTCTACTTGTATTTGTTTGTCTTATTACGTTTCTGTGTATAAATGACGTTGACTTAACAGTTTAGGACACATTGGACGACGAGTGAGTTTCTGTCCTCTGTGTCGTGACTTCTTATCTTCATGCACATTCAGGGGAGTACAAATCCATTCTTTTAAAGACGTGAGACGATCCGGAGAGGTCCGGTGTTGGCGTGCGCACACATGGCTGAAGGCTAATCTCAACGATCCGTCTCGTCCCTCACTTGGACACGACGGCCTTCTTAGTAACGCTCGCCCTGCGGCCTCCTCCTCCTCCTCCTCCTCCTCCTCCCTGCCAGAGATGGCCGGGGATGGTGAAGGCGTCCACCGTCATGCCCACGGTCTTCGAGGGGATGACGCTAAACTGCTTCCTGTCTGAGCTGTACTTGTAGATGGCCTCCACCTGGGCGGAGCCAATAGTCCGCGGGCCCACGCCGGCCAATCGGATCAGCTCCTGGGACTCTGTGTTCATGGTGTAGACGCCCCGGAACTGGCAGCTGGAGTCACGGAAGAGGATGAGGAAGTGGTTGGCGGGACTCTTCTCCATCTCCTGAGGAAGAGGAGGAGGAGTCATATCAGCTGAGTGTCCATCGTGTTCCCACGGAAACTGGCGCACACATAGAGATTATTATTAATTAAAGGCAGCGGTGGCAATCCGATGTGATTACACGTTGGATTTAACTTTGCATCTCAGCCTACTCATAGATACACTTTTTAACAGGATTTTGGGAGTTTAAACTCCTTCAGGCAAATGTTGTATTTCGGGCTGTACTTGTACTGTAATTCAATCTCGGATCAGTACTTCATGAGCAGGGGGGAGAGGGCAGCGCTACCACCCCCAGTGGTCAGCTGAGGGAACCCAGGTTAACAGCCAGCAGCATTACAGAGCAGTAGTTGTGATCAATACTGTGCATGTATCACGTATATCGCTGTGTTAAGTGAAGTAAAATGATTCATCTACCTCAACCATCCTGTTCTTCTGGGTCTCGTTGACCTTTCCCGCCAGGCAGCAGCGTGACAGCGCGTTGTGGATGATGAATTTGTTGGACTTAAAGCTCGGCTCTTTGAAGAGTTTTGGACCTGCAGACACAGATGGACCCGTTACTGTCAGCACACTGGTCCTCCTCCGGCCAAAGACCACGCCCTGTACCTGTGTATTCCGGGGCGGGTGGGGTTCCATTGGAACCAGCCTCCCAGTCTTTATCTCCGGTGCGATTGGCCAGTTTACTTTGCGGCACACATCTTGAAGGCGAATCAGGGCGGCTGTTGAGGAACATCAATAAATGAACCAACATTTTTTTGGAATGAATTTAAGCATGTTGTCCTTCGTCCTTTTTTGAACCAATTTTTGTACAAATCGCTCCAATGGTTGTCGAGATATTTGCCGGGCTAAACCAGGGGTGCTCACACGTTGCAACTAACCAGGTCATGGCGATCAGCCCCCCTCCGTGCCGGCTGAGGGGGGGCGACCGGTAAATAGTAGCTCCACCACCGCGCAACGAGTCGACATGAAGAAAACAACGAGCCTCTCGTCTGTCAGAAGGAGGAAACCGACACAAACATCCCGCACATTCTTGGTCATTACCTTGCTGTCAGCCCGAGTCGCTTTGCAATGAAATTAAATGCATCCGTTAGGAAGCAAGAATCGCTAATTAGCATTAGCATTAGTTACGGTCATCGCCCGCGGTGGACGTGACGTCGTTGTTTTATCGATGGCACGTGATCGACTGGTCATGGGCAGCCGTGCTGCCATCGGCCCGAACCCTGCACACCTGAGAGGAGAGAGCTTACCTCTGGCATCTCTTCGGGCCATCGCCACATCTGTTTCCTGGCTCCTCCGTTGCTGCCAGGTTGAGGGAGGAGTTAGAGTAGACTTTGGTCAACCTAGAACCTGGATACACAAATGTCAGGACCTTAAAACCGCTTTGAAATCATCTTAACTCGTTCCTAACTTAACTTAAGACCCTACCAGCTGTTCCCTTGGCCGGGCTCACAGGCCGCTGTGTTTCCTCCCTCGTCATGCTGCGAGGACGGGGGCGGGGTTTCTTGGCGGAAGATCGTCCTTGACTGGTCGATTTCTCCCGAAGTACTTTGTCCAAGTCCTCCATAATCCTGAGTTGGTGCCGCCGTGCGTACTCCACCCTGGTGAAGGTCCCCCTCCGGACGGGTGTGGCAGGAGGCGTGGGAGAAGGGGAGGTCATTCCTGGAGGAGGCGTACCGGAGGGAGAGTTTCTGTCTGCAGATCCGGGTCTGAAACCAACAAGTTACACACATATGGGTTTTTAGAAAACAGCACTCAAGCTTCGTGAGCCCTCGTGGACGACTGAGACACCTGTTTTCCCTTTCTTGCTCATTCCACTGTCTCCTCTTCCTCAACTCCTCACTTCTCTTCTGCTGTTTGTCCAACAGCAGAGCTCTACGCTGGGCCATCTCCCCTTCGCTACGCGCCTCCTCCTGCAACCACATGATCATACGCCCAACGGTCATGACACAATCGAGGTGCACAGAAGCAAACCGTGCCTTCCGTTTTCCCTGCAGCGTCTCACCTGAAAGAAGAACCCGATCCCTCCTCTTGCCGCCGGCTCATTCTGCTCTCGGCTCGGCTCCAGACTTTCGGCCTCTCTCGGTGGTTCTCCTTCGATGTCTTGTTGTTCGAAATTGGCGGCTCCCGCAGTCGCATCCAGCTGCTGGAGGGGGTCTACAGGTCGTGCAGCGAGACGTCCGCCGGGTTCCACAGCGGATTCTGTGTGGTCGCTCATTGAATCAGAGGAGAACTCCTGCCCCTCGTCAGTTGGTGCGTCGCTGCCCCCCTCGGGCCTTCCGAGAGAAGACAGCGAGGCCTCAATCAGGCTGCACCCTTCACCTGCTCTCCTGGCGCCTTCGCCTCCTGCGCTGAAAGCTGCAGAGATAGATTCGCTCCCGAAGGAGTACTCGGAAGGAGCGCCGGAGCTGCTCCCGCCATTCGCCGACGCTCCATCTTGTCCGAGCTGCGGGAAAACCAGCTGCCCCCCCACAGTCTCCCCGTCCTCCAGCTCCAGCCGGAACTGGGTCGGGGTTTCGCTGGACGCCGTGTCCGAGGTGCTCCCCTCATGCTGTGCCCCCTTGGCGGTCTGAGGACGCTCTTGAGGAGTCCGAGGCCCGCCGATGCGAAAGGACGAGGAGGTCTGAACCTGACACTTGCTGGGGGAGACGCGGCGTAGGTGGGGGAGGGCGTCCACGTTATGGGTGGGTGCCAAGGCCCGGTTGAGCGGCGGGAACTTGAGTTCGGAGGGCCGTGGGGGAGGCTGCTGCTGGGCCTGCAGGGGCTGCTTGGGGCTGCGGGGGGTGGAGGAAGGGGGGATCCTTGTGCGAGGAGCGGGGCAGGAAGAGGACAGGAGGTTCTTCGGGGAGGTGGCAGAAGAACGAATGTGCAAACGCAACGGGGAGGAGGCGGCCGGGCCGCCGGGACCAGGAATCACCCAGGCGTTACTGGTGCTCCTCGCAGGCGTCTTGGTCGGAGTTCTCGGAGGCGTCTTGGTCGGAGTTCTCGGAGGCGTCTTGGTCGGGGTGTGAGGAGGCGTTTTAGCGGCACATCGAGGCGTAGATTTGCGAGTGTTCTTCGGTGTATTTGTGGGCCTTCGGTCACTCATGAGCTGTTGTTGCTGTTCGGTTAGTTTCTGCATGTCCTTCTGAAGTGACTGCAGAGCTTCACTCAGTTTTTGAACCACTTCACTGTATTCCACAAAAACGGCCTCGCCTCCCTTCTCAATCTCTGCGCCTTTCTTGCTCTCGATGGAGAAGGTGACCTGCTTCTCCAATCGGGGGGGATTAGGAACAGATGGCTTCTCTTTCTCCTTCTCCTCCCTCTCCTCCTCCCGTTTCAGTTGCTCCTCCATACACGTGAGGCGTTCCTCCAGGGTGAGATGCTCTTCCTCCCCTCGATCTCTTTTCAGCTGAAGGAAAGCGGTTTTTCCGAGCCTCTGCCTGTGCTTGGCAAAGATGGCTTCGATGCGTCTCTTTTGGGCTTCAATGCTTTTCCGTTTTTCCTCCAGGCGAGCCCCCAGCTCGCTGGCCTCGGATCCTGGTTCGGGGCCTCCGGGACCCGGACCGGGTGCCCCGGCTGGTGCGGAGGTTGTATGTGGAGTTCCTGGAGTTGTCGGGGTCGGAGCAGAACCCGGCTCCTCCCCGGGAGCAGCGGGATGTCTTCTTCTGCCGTCTCGTCGCTCTGCAAAGCTGGTCAGGCGTGGACTGTTGCTGGTGCCGTTGCCGGGACGGATGTTGCCGGGACGGATGTTGCCGGGACGGATGTTGCCGGGCGCGTTTCGAGGGGCTTCGTCCGACGCGTCGGAGGAGTCGACGCTGCCGTCTCGTAGGACGGAGTCGTCGTCGCGCGACATATCGGAGGCGCGTCCCACTCTCTCCCTCCTCTCCGCCCTCCCCTGCTTTTCGGTGTCACCCGCCTTTCCGCCGACGGGCCGGGGGAGGACGCCAGAGCGACAGGGCGCGGAGCTGCTCAGCAGGGATTTGTCCTCCTCGGGGGAGTGGAGGAAGAAACCAGCTGGGGCTCCTTCCGGACGTAGCCTGGGCTGCGGCCTCTCGCCCAACGCTTCTCGACCTCCACCTTTCTCGGCCCCCCTGTCCTTCCGCCGATCCTTGCCGCTCGAGGTGTGGACCGCCTGCAGCGCCTCCTCGATGGTGGGCAGCTCCCCCAGCGGCGGGGTTTGGGCGTAAGGAGGCCGGGGAGGGTGTTGCGATGGAGCGGAGGCGCTGACCAGGCCGCAGGGGGGGCGTACCGCGGAGGTCATTGTGGCTTCGCCGGCGGAGAGGCTGTCGATGCTACCGGAGTGAAAGACAGAATCTATTGGGTTCCCCATGACAACGTCAACATCACTGTCCAGCCCAAACGGGATGCTGAACGTTCCCGCTGACAGAGGACGGCTGCAGGCAGGCGGATGGCGATGAAGGGACGGATGCGTGGATGGTTTTTGCCAACACGGAGACCACGGAAGCAAAAGAAAGAAGATTTCAAACAATGGAGGTAAAGTATGATGCTTCGCGACCGCCGCGATGGTCATCACCACACACGCATGATCACCTGATTTGTTTCTTTGTCCAACTCTTGTTTTCTGGAAAGACAAGTACAAAAGTCACAAAATGAAGGATGATTTGGGGTTGAACAAAAGCTCAAATTCAGTTTCTTACCTGGCGACACTGGGGAGCAGATGGGAACAAAGGGTTGTTTGAAGATGAAGGAAGGACAACCACTGAAGCAGAAAAGTGTTAAAATGTCACATTTCAAAATAATGTGCACAAAATAAAAGTTTCTCTACATTACTCCGGTTATTTTGGCTCATCTATAGAATATTCAGATTGAAAGTGTGTTTGCACCTGTTCACAGGACTCGTACAGTCTAACAGCCCCGAGGCATCTGAAAGACAAGGAGGCAGTTTCAGAGGAATTCTAACGGTGTGGACATGAGCTCGTTAGCGACAGGGAGTCACAGACCTGTGAGGTCGAGGGGTTCCATGGGCTGAACGAAATCCGGCTTCTTCACTTCAAACCACTCCAGCAGCTCGGCCACGAAGCTCATGATGTTCAGCTGGGAAAGAGCGCGGATCGGGTCACAGCGGAGGACACTCGCAGGAGGTCAACAAGAGCAAAGGGACGCTACATTGAAAGCAGACTTTCACATGGAAATGTCGTATTCCTTCACTCTTAGAGACCTGTCAATCAGCGAGTAGCCCCGCCCTAAAGCCTCCCCCGATTCTATTAGAGACCAGAGCTCTTATAGTTAGGGCTGGTCTACCAAAAGCGCCTAATTGAAGTGGAAATGGCCAAGGGACATGTAACCAAATATTATCACTGATGTATGTATATTTTTGATCACTTTTTCTGTTAACCCATAATAAAGTCATAAAAGAACCAAACTTCATGAATGTTTTTTGTGACAAAGTATCTGTTCCAATCAGAGAAAAATCTGACTTGTAGAAATAACGGGAACCTCAAGAGAGCCACGACATTATGTTCTTTACACGTGTTTGTAAACCTTTGATCACAACTGTACTTTGTTCATTCTGTCGTAGTCTGTCCATCAGGAGACGGATCCTCCTCTGACGTTCTTCCCTCAACCTCAGAGGCAGATTTATAATTTGCAATTTTGGGCGTTACAAAATAAAATGAATTTGAATTGAACAGGTCAATGAATTTATCGATTTATGGTCTATTAGGGACCTGTCAATCAGTGAGTAGCCCCGCCCTAAAGCATCCCCCGATTTATGGTCTATTAGAGACCTGTCAATCAGCGAGTCGCCCACCCTAAAGCATCGAAAAGCCAAATGGAGACGTCTTTGGCTCCTCTTCTCCGTGACGTTAATCTCTCTACAACAAAGTGTGACTCTTCACCCCTGAGATGTGATCTCAAACGTTTACACAAATCCTGCAGCACAAACGTCTGGTCTGTGAGGGAGGACCTCCACGTCTCAACCCTTCGCTCCCTTCGTTAATCCAACATATACGTCATTTATTTTCCTTATCGCCACTCAGACGCCGGCAGTCCCCCATTAAACCGACACGGTTTCTCCCGTCCATGGGGGAGTGTTCAGGGGGGCTCACATGCAGGGCCGGGGGGGCGTACAGCAGGTCCTCCACAGCCAGGGGGCAGCAGCTCCGCAAGCGGCTGCCACAGAAGTCGGTGATGAGCTGCAGGTTGTAGAGGCTGTCAGACACCGACATGGTGTCCTTCAGACACACATCTGGAGGAAGGAGAGCAGACAGATGTGTCACTGCGACGTTACAGAATACCAGCTGTGAGAGACACAGTGTGTACGTAGAGATGACTGTAGGCTCATGACTGGTAATCTCGACCTTCACCACTAGATGTCGCTAAAGCCTGCGCACTGTTCCTTTAAGACAATGTGCACACAATGAGGGTTTGGAGATCCCTCATCATCTTTGGAGCCTTTAAAGCGGAGAATAAACATGTAAGCATGTAGCGTGTATCACGGAGTGCGTGTATCACGGAGTGCGTGTACCCTCCAGCGGCAGCAGGCCGGGGCAGTAGAAGTGCAGTGCTGCAGCTATCGCACAACCGTTAGATAGGTCACGGACCCCCGAGACCACCGGGAAGGTCGGGGTCAGCTTGGACTGTACCTTGTCCTTCCTATAGCGGATCTACAGGGGAGGAAGAGGAGGAGAAGAAGAGAACAAAAAGCTCATATTTATTATTATATTATTAAACAGAGGGATTCGCATGTTGTTTGTTTGGATACATACCAGAAAATAAATAAACACCTTCTGAGGATTAAACACATCCTCAGAAGAAACACAAATCCCTAAATTTCCTCAAGAACATCTTTGAACATTAAAATGTCCAAAGATGTTCTTCCCCGTCTCCTCCATCACACGGCCCCCCGATGACGTCATGCTCGTCAAACCCACAACCCCACGCGCTGCTCATGGGTCATGTCGCAGCGAACGACTTATTTTTGTGGCATTATTCTGTGAATATTGAGACTGATCTGAGAGCAGAAGTTACAAAAGAAATGACCGACCAATCAGAAGCAATCAACAATAAATAAACATCTACATAACTGTGAGCGCAGAAAGGAAGCCACACACACACACACACACACACACACACACAGGAGTACTAAACAAAGCTCAACGTGTGTATAAATACACATATTTATGTAGGCAAATACGCTATGTTGGTGTGGCCATCACGTGCATCACATCGCTTATAAAAAGCTCTCAGCCTGAATCTGCTTTAATGTGAATAAATGAGGGGATGATCTGGGGGGCGGGTGTGGCGAGGGGGGGGGTGGCGAGGGGGGCGGGTGTGGCGAGGGGGGGGTGTGGCGAGGGGGCGGGTGTGGCGAGGGGCTGAGAGAGTATACGTTACCACTGGAGGCTTATTCCCCGATTCCTTCAAACAAAAAGCGATAGCATGCTGGATGGAGATGGCAGAGAGAGGGAGACAAGGGGGCCGTCACCATGGGAACCGCCACACCACAAAGTCACATGACACGTCTCAGGAGGAGGAGGGGCCAGACGGGGGGCAGGGAGAAGGTTCACGTCCATTGATCTCCTGCTTCGTTTGAGAAGAAGAAACATTGACCTCACGACCTCACGACCTCACGACCTCGGCTTTGGAGGGAGGATTGATGAATAATCATTTCATCTCCTCTCATTTATTTCATGTCTTCTTTATTAATCACAATTTCTTCGTTTATTTCGTTATTCTTTTTTTCTTAATTTTAAGTTTTGGCTTGGGCCTTTCTGGGTTTCTGGTTCTGTTTCTGCTCTGGTTCCTGGTTCTGTTCTGGCTCTGGCTCTGGTTCTGGTTCCTGGCTCTGGTTCTGGTTCTGGTTTTGGTTCTAGTTCTGGTTTCTGGCTCTGGTTCTGGTTTTGGTTTTGGTTTTGGTTCTAGTTCTAGTTCTGGTTCCTAGCTCTGGTTCTGGTTCTGTTTTTTGGTTCTGGTTCTGAGATGAAGCTGTTGACTGAATGTCCCTCAAATGCTAACAACAATAAGCATTTATGGGACGTCAGGATGCTCGAAGAATTATTCTTAATTTTAAGTTTTGGCTTGGGCCTTTCTGGGTTTCTGGTTCTGTTTCTGCTCTGGTTTCTGGTTCTGTTCTGGCTCTGGTTTCTGCTCTGGTTTCTGATTCTGTTCTGGCTCTGGTTCTGGTTCCTGGCTCTGGTTCTGGTTTTGGTTCTAGTTCTGGTTTCTGGCTCTGGTTCCTGGCTCTGGTTCTGGTTTGGGTTCTAGTTCTGGTGTCTGGCTCTGGTTCTGGTTTTGGTTCTAGTTCTGGTTTCTGGCTCTGGTTCTGGCTTCTGGCGTCTGGGTTTTGGTTCTGGTTCTGGTTTTGGTTCCTGGTTCTGGTTCTGGTTCTGGTTTTGGTTTTGGTTCTAGTTCTGGTTCTGGCTCTGGTTCCTGGCTCTGGTTCCTGGTTCTGGTTCTGGTTCTGGTTCTGGCTCTGGTTCCTGGCTCTGGTTCCTGGTTCTGGTTCTGGTTCTAGTTCTGGCTCTGGTTCCTGGCTCTGGTTCCTGGTTCTGGTTCTGGTTCTGGTACCGGTTCTGACTCTGGTTCCTGGCTCATGTTCCTAGCTCTGGTTCTGGTTCTGGTTTTTGGTTCTGGTTCTGAGATGAAGCTGTTGACTGAATGTCCCTCAAATGCTAACAACAATAAGCATTTATGGGACGTCAGGATGGTCGAAGAAGAGAAAACTTACGGGGACGAGCTTCCAGTACCAGCGGTTGGATTGACACTGCCAGTGAGCAAGGGATGAGACGAGGGGTGGGGGGAGAAGCAGAGCGAGTCCGGATTAGAAGGGACACACACTCTCATGCATGCATGTGTATGTGCGCGTGTGTCTGTGTGGGTTTGTGATTTACCGGGTCCTGGGCGGTTTGCAGGTCTGTGCATGTCTGGGACTTGGTGGGCTCTTCTTCTTCGGTGGTTTCTCTCAGCTTGTGGTTCAGCTGGAGGGAGTTGGCGGACAGGTTCAGATAAAACTCTATGGGCCGCTTACCTCAGGGGTCTCAAACTCATTTCAGGCTCGGGCCAAATGCAGCCGCTTCGACCGCTTCGCTGATGGTCCGAACCCCCCCGCCCCCCCACCCCCTCCCTCGGATGTGGCCCGCAGGCCGGAGTTTGAGACCCCTGGCTGGAAGGAACCAGTGTAACCTGAAAGCATAGCAAGCTAGCTAACTAGCCAGCCGCTAAATGAATGAAATGTAATTTTTCATCCGCACTCTTTTTTCACAGCGTAGAGAAGCTGATCAACACAGACAGATGCTGTGAGGTGGGACCAGCGTGGAGGACTTACCCGGTTGACCCAGAAGAGCAGAGCATTCTCCCACGGAGCCCCGGCACCCATCTGCTCTGCCTCGGCCGCCATCTTCACGCTGCCCACCACGTCTCTGGCCACCAGCGTCATCAGGGCGTCGATCAGGGCGAGGTGGGCCTTCTGCATCACAGGGACACTTTGGTCTAAAGGATTCTGTCTCTGAAGGACATGAAAAGGGAGCTCCGCACATTGTAAAGTATTTCATTAAAAACTGTTAAATGTCACTTTACTTCCTACTTTCCTTGTTGCTTTCCCTCTATTACTTGACTATGTGGTATGGACTCTGTGGTACGGACTATGTGGTACGGACTCTGTGGTACGGACTCTGGTATGGACTATGTGGTGCGGACTCTGTGGTATGGACTATGTGGTACGGACTCTGTGGTACGGACTCTGGTTTGGACTATGTGGTATGGACTCTGTGGTACGGACTATGTGGTACGGACTCTGGTATGGACTATGTGGCACGGACTCTGGGTTGGACTATGTGGTATGGACTATGTGGCACAGACTCTGGTTTGGACTATGTGGTATGGACTTTGGGTATTGGACTCTGTGGTATGGACTATGTCGTATGGACTATGTGGTATGGACTCTGTGGTACGGACTCTGGTATGGACTATGTGGCACGGACTCTGGTTTGGACTCTGTGGTATGGACTCTGTGGTATGGACTCTGTGGTATGGACGTCTGTGGTACGGACTCTGTGGTACGGACTCTGGTTCGGACTATGTGGTATGGACTCTGTGGTATGGACTCTGTGGTACGGACTCTGGTATGGACTATGTGGAACACAGACTCTGGTATGGACTATGTGGCACGGACTCTGGTATGGACTATGTGGTATGGACTATGTTGTATGGACTATGTTGTATGGACTATGTGGTACGGACTCTGTGGTACGGCCTATGTGTTACGGACTCTGTGGTAACGCACTCTGTGGCACGGACTCTGTGGTACGGACTATGTGGTATAGACTATGTGGTACGGACTATGTGGTACGGACTCTGTGGTACGGACTCTGTGGTACGGACTATGTTGTATGGACTATGTGGTACGGACTATGTGGTACGGACTCTGTGGTACGGACTCTGTGCCACGGACTCTGTGGTACGGACTATGTGGTACGGACTCTGTGGTACGGACTATGTGGTACGGACTATGTGGTATGGACTCTGTGGTACGGACTATGTAGTACGGACTCTGTGGTACGGACTCTGTGGCACGGACTCTGTGGTACGGACTATGTGGTACGGACTCTGTGGTACGGACTATGTGGCACGGACTATGTGGCACGGACTACTATGTGTTTTAAGAAGGGATTTGAAATAAAAGAGCACACAAACACACACCGTCTTGATGGGGACGAAGCGGAGGTCCTCCTCGGTAACGTCTGCATCCTCGACCTTTGGAGTCAAACCTTTCTTAATAAGGACCTGCAGCAGGGAAGAGTGGTCCGCTGGTGACCCTTGTGCTGCCGGCAGGGAGACCCCATGTGCCTGTGCCAGCAGGGCTTGGGTTCTGAAGTAGATCTCTGGAGACAGAAGCAGCTTTGAGACGGACGGCTTTAGGTGCTCTTGTTCATACTGGTCCCTGTAAAGAGGCTCCCGCAGCTCCACAGGCACGTTTTCTGAAAGAGAGGGAAGAGCGTTAGGCACAGATGTAGGTCACGCTTGTCCACCACGTAGCTCCATCAAGCAGCTCCACCCCGAACGTCCACCACGTAGCTCCATCAAGCAGCTCCACCCCGAATGTCCACCACGTAGCTCCATCAAGCAGCTCCACCCCGAACGTCCACCACGTAGCTCCATCAAGCAGCTCCACCCCGAATGTCCACCATGTAGCTCCATCAAGCAGCTCCACCCCGAATGTCCACCACGTAGCTCCATCAAGCAGCTCCACCCCGAATGTCCACCACGTAGCTCCATCAAGTAGCTCCACACCGAACGTCCACCACGTAGCTCCATCAAGTAGCTCCACCCCGAACGTCCACCACGTAGCTCCATCAAGTAGCTCCACCCCGAACGTCCACCATGTTGGTCCATCAAGTAGTTCTGAAGCTTTGGGTTCAACTCTCAGAACCCGAGGTTGTCTCCTGGTTTATGTATTCTGTCCTTAAAAGATGAACCTTACTAGGTTTTGCTCTGGAGCCACAGCTGGTTGATGTTTTTATCCTGGTGAAACCAACGGAACTCTTAGAGTGATATAACATGTAAGACATGTTCATAGTGTTCACAGGGGATCATAATTACTTTTTATCGGACTCCATCTTCAGATAACACGCTAAAATAACATGTTGAACATGAATGTGAGCATGTTATCGTCATGCATGCTGTTAGCTGTTAGCAGCCTCACAGGCAGGTAGAAGGACAGACGTCTCAGTCGAGCAGAGATAATAATGCAGAGTTCATCCAGGAGGAACCAGAAAACCACCAAGAGACGTTTTCCTCCAGATACATGGAGACCAAGAAGATCACCAAGACCCTGCTTCCTCCTCTGGAGAAGGTTCTTCTTCTCACTGTGGTGACAGGAAGTGACAGCGCCTGAGGCGATAATGTCATCTTCTGCATGAGTGTGTGTGATGCAGAAAGACGCAGTCTCCCCGCGCTGACCCGCATTCCGTCTCTGCAGTCAGGATGATCCTGAAGAGAACGGAGACGAGTCCTCAGCTCCTCACTCCTCATCTCCTCATCTCCTCACTCCTCACTCCTCATCTCCTCTCCACGAGTCCAACACATCGCGCCGAGACTTATGAGAAAGTGTGCGTGACACAAAGGAAACAGGAGGTCGTCGTGGCGCAGGAGTGGAGAGGAGGTTGGTGGTCCGAGCCCCGGCTGGCCCGTGTCCCCAAGTGTCCCCAAGTGTCCCCGAGCAAGACACCTGACCCCTAATTGCTCCCCGGGCAAAATGTATAAAAGCGTCTGCTAAATGACCCGTGATGTGATGAAGTGGTGGAAAATGGAGTCTAGTTACTGTAGATAACTAACCTTACCTTCTCACGTCCTTTCCTAAGCATCTCTCCTTGACCCATGTGGGAACAGTAGAGGCACGGAGACGACTACGCCTTGACTGACCTACGTAGCTCCTCTGAGATACTGTGTTCTCTACATATGTACTTATAGCGTAGTCACATATACATACATACTATATACATATATACTATATGAATATACACTATATGAATATACACTATATGAATATACTATATGAATATATACTATGTACATATATACTATATGAATATATACTATATACATATATACTATATGAATATATACTATGTACATATATACTATATGAATATATACTATGTACATATATACTATATGAATATATACTATATGAATATACACTATATGAATATATACTATATGAATATATACTATGTACATATATACTATATGAATATATACTATATACATATATACTATATGAATATATACTATGTACATATATACTATATGAATATACACTATATGAATATACACTATATGAATATATACTATATGAATATATACTATGTACATATATACTATATGAATATATACTATATACATATATACTATATGAATATATACTATGTACATATATACTATATGAATATATACTATATACATATATACTATATGAATATATACTATGTACATATATACTATATGAATATACACTATATACATATATACTATATGAATATACACTATATGAATATATACTATATGAATATATACTATATGAATATATACTATGTACATATATACTATATGAATATATACTATATACATATATACTATATGAATATATACTATGTACATATATACTATATGAATATATACTATATGAATACATACTATGTACATATATACTATATGAATATATACTATGTACATATATACTATATGAATACATACTATGTACATATATACTATGTACATATATACTATATGAATATATACTATATGAATACATACTATATGAATATATACTATATGAATATATACTATGTACATATATACTATATGAATACATACTATGTACATATATACTATATGAATATATACTATATGAATATATACTATATGAATATATACTATATGAATACTGACACACAGTGACGCATTAGAGTCCAGGGTGTATTAAGCCTTGAGGATCTCAGGAGACTCCTTTGTCTCACAGACCTGTAGTCACCTTCATCGCACCGACACGCACGCACTTCAGCACGAGCACGCGCGCGTGCCACTGACACAGATCCCGTTCGGCGTCCGCGTTCTTTAGTACCGTCATGCATCGCTCTCCTCCACGCACCGCCTCACACGCACGGCGACAACCGGCCTCCGCATCCAGGGGTTTACCGGGACTGCGGGGGGGGGGGGGGAGCGGGATGGACCGGCGGGATGAGGAGGATGAACCGGCGGGATGAGGAGGGTGGACCGGGGGGGATGAGGAGGGTGGACCGGCGGAATGAGGAGGGTGGACCGGCGGAATGAGGAGGATGGACCGGGGGGGATGAGGAGGATGGACCGGCGGGATGAGGAGGGTGGACCGGGGGGGATGAGGAGGATGGACCGGGGGGGATGAGGAGGATGGACCGGCGGGATGAGGAGGATGGACCGGCGGGATGAGGAGGGTGGACCGGGGGGAAGAGGATCTAAATAAACCCGGAGCGCCCCGTCAGAGCATGAAGCACCCCGCCCAAGGGGAGCGGACAGCGGCAGCGCGTGTACCTGCGGAGCCGTAGGACCTGGCCAGCAGCCACCGGACGCTGGCGCAGATCTTGGCCCGGTTGAAGTCGTACCGGTCCAGCGGGTTGTTTCCGGCCCCGAGGAGGTCTTCTTTATCGCGTCGTATATGTCCTGCAAGGGCGCGTTGGCTGCGCTGCAAGAGGAGTAGGGGGGAGGGAGAGCAGGGGGAGGAGGGGGAGGAGGAGAGACGGGGAGGAGGAAGGGGGGAGGGGGGCGGAGCCTGTGATGCAGACAGTTCAACGCCCAAAATCACAGATGACAGATGATCCTCAGAGGGCTTTACAGTGTGAACACATGAGACATCCTGTCCTCAAACATTCACCACTGCAGGAAAAAAGAAACGTCAGTGAGGACGTCAGAGGACGATCCGTCTCCTGATGGACAGACTACGATGACGTCATGAGGACAAAGGATGAACAACACACTCAGTTCATATGACAGAGATGATTCAGATCATGTGAGTAGTAAGAAACACTCACTGAAACATCATCATATCACACAGACACGCTGCTACAAATCAACAAATGAAATACATGGAGGAGGAACACACACACACACACACACACACACACACAGAGATATAAAGTAGTTGATGAGTGTAGATATGATAGCGGATTAGAACCCGTCCTCTCTGTAGTGGAGATCGGGGTTCTGCTTTCTGTCACTTTAGACTTAATTCTGTAGTTTACTAGTAAACAAAGTGGAAATGCATGAAGGGCCGCGGCTAGCTGCTTAGCGTGCTAATCTAACACGGCAGCCTCTTGGTGATGGTGGTTCATCTCGTATCTTTCATAACGACCACCAGCTCAGTTTGTACCTGCTTTCGTTGTCTCGCTACCTGTGAAATGACGATAAAGTGGAATCTCATCTCAACATTGATAACAATCACAGGCGTGGATGAGCTTCACATCACACGCTGTGATCCAGATAACGCTCAGAATGTGATGGTGACTTCACGAGGACCACGGAGGGACACAGACCAGCTCGATGGGGAACCAGACACAGGTGTGTAGGGATGAGTGGGCGTGCACAGCAGACAGACACACAACGGGACAAACCAACACACAACGGGACAGACCAACACACAACGGGACAGACCAACACACAATGGGACAGACCAACACACAACGGGACAGACCAACTGGACAGTAAACTGGGGGGAGTTTGGGGACCAGATCTTGAAGGCCTCAGTGCTCGTGACATCGTGACGATGACCTTCAGAAACTTGAGGCAGATGATCATTGAGGAGGTCAACGGCCCAACAAGGTGAGACAGTCAGCTACCAGCTACAGAACGGCACCATGGACCACGCTACACCAGCTGGACGTCGTATGGGGGAGATTTGGGTTATACAGAATGAAATGACCGTTCTGGCTTTGTTAGTGTTTAGTGTAAATTAGCTGTGAGAAATAAGAAGCTGAACGTTTCATTATCAAAGTGTGACTGAGCCACACACACGTTGGAACGCGGAGCTGCGAGTTCCGTTGTTTTCATTATTTTATTGTTAATTTGACAAAAATTAAACGTCACATCGTCACAGTCAAATAATCCCTCCCCCCCAAAAATGAGCAGTAGCTTTATGTACAAGTTGTCCTGGTTTGTGGAGACGTTTGGTGCTGTAACAACAACAACAGACTAATAAAAAGAAGCGCGTTCATGGCCTTTTATTGCTTTGCAGTTTTTTGGTACAATATTTGCGTTACGTTTGTGGACGTCTGATGGCGTAACATTGAGCCGGTCTCTGCTGGCCTTCAGGACGGAGGTCACAGGGACCAGGGGAGGAGGACCTTCTCTCTCCGTACGTCAGGGACCCACAGGAAGTGAACGTGGCAGCTTCCTGTCCGACTTCAACATCCACGACTGCTTTTCACCAGCTACTAACAACTAACACCGATATGTACAGCTACCGCGTGACCACCAACGAGCTCAGCTGAGCTCCTGTTGCATCCTGGGAAGATTCAGGGCTCTTTCTCTTTGGGATAAACACATCCGATTAACAGGAACACACACATATACATAGATTATATATAGAATATATATATATATATATAATATATATATAAATAAAATGTTAAAAGCATCCAAATATAAACTCATAACATGAGTGTAATGAAACGTGAATAAAAAGCCCGGATGAAGACGGGTTGCCAGGTTGGCTTCAAGCAGACCAACATTTAGTTTTTGCAGACAGGACGTTTACGCATAAAATAAAACTGAAGAAAAGCAGCTTATTGAGATATTAATAACTAACAATGGGACTCAAATATCTCCAGCAGATCCTCCTGGACCTCACAGCACCATGAAGAAGAACGGGAGACCAGGGAGAAGAACCAGAGACATCTGGAAGGACGCTTCTTGTTCTCGGTGACTTTGTGTCTCCAGAGTTCTTTAAACCACCAGAAGTCCTCCAGTCACAGTCTGGTGCGTCTGCAGCGTCCCGCTCAGGCTTCTGAGGTGGTGGCGTCCTCTGATGAACGGATGAGAAGAATCCCGTTGGTCTGGTCCATCGGCTCGGCAACGCGAGACTTATAGTTCTGAAGACAGGGAGGAGGAGAGAGAGAAGAGACGGTGAGACCACAGAGGAAACCAGGAGCACCAAGAACATGAGGAGGACCACGAGGAAGAGGAGGAGGAGGAGGTGAAACAGGTAAAGAGGCGTTCGCGTCCATTCCGCCTGACTCAGAGCAGAAGATCAAACATGTATACCGTCCCACACAGCGTCAGTCCCTCGTCCAACATCCTGCCTGCAGGCAGCTAACAGGCCGCCTACATTAGGACCCGCGGGGCGATAAGGGGGCGCTATGTTTACAGGGTGTCAACCATGAGGCTCAGTTAGAGAACGTGGTGTAAAGATGGAGGCTTGGTTTACTCCTGCGTATTTCCTGTTTAGTCTCCACCTCCAGTTAATCTGGCGTTTAACACGAATGCAACGTCCTCCTCAGAGCGCCGACCTGAGATTCTAACAAACGGAGGAAGATGTTTTCACAGCGAGACGTTGCTACGGAAACGTATAACGTTTAACTAACTAGTCGTAATGCTACGATGACCTATTTGTTATGTCTTGTCTAGATGAAACGAACCAGTTCAATCACCACTGAGCAGTAGACGGCCAGCAGGAGGACCAGTACCGAGAGGGACGGGTGGACCGGACCACGCGTCCCACCATGCGGAGCACCATGGTCACAGATTTTAAATAGATACAAAGCAGATTATATTCATTTCATTAATTACACAAAGAAGTGACTGGGGAGCAGATAGAACCACCAGCAGCAGACCGGGTTCCTCCAGGAGGCGTCCTGCTGATAATCAGTCATGTATATAAATGGTGTTTAATGTCCACAGCTTTATAATAAAAAGAAGTTTGACTCTACATTCAATAATATTTCTGGGCTTGTTGTTAAGAAATGGATCCAAACAAGCCGGTTTATAAAGGTGTCCAACGTGGGCGGGGCCTCGTTCGCTTTCGTTTAAGCCGCTCACGGGCCGCATCCTGTGTTGACCTGTGGCGCGGATACGTTCCGCATCAGACGCATCTGGAGACGTCCCTTTTAGTGGGTCTGTTCCGGAGCTCAGGATCCACGGCGGATCAGGATCGGGTACTTCTGCTACCCGCGTTTATTCCTTCAACAGCAAATAAACAACAACAGGATCGACCCGCTCACATCTGGATGCTTTTAAGAAGACACCAGCAGTGCATGATGGGACACAGACAGAGAGAGTTTCATCAATGTCCCCCCCGAGCCCCTAATGTCCACTATGTCCCCCCCGAGCCCCTAATGTCCACTATGTCCCCCCCGAGCCCCTATGTCCACTATGTCCCCCCCCGAGCCCCTAATGTCCACAATGTCCCCCCCGAGCCCCTAATGTCCACAATGTCCCCCCCCCCTACGGCTCAGTACCTCTTGTTCCGTGGTGTGGAAGCAAGCGGTCGAGCCGTCGGGGGGGTCGCCGTGGCGACGGCAGACGTAACACAGGATGTCCTTGAAGGTCCGCCGCATGTCTTTGTCCCGGAAGGAGTAGATGACCGGGTTCACCAGAGAGTTGCACTCGGCCAGAACCAGGAAGTACTTCTCAAAGAGCAGCACGTTTTTATCGAAGCCGACGCCGTCCAGCAGCAGGATGACCAGGCCGGGGGTCCAGCACAGCACGAAGCAGCCTGGGGGGGGAGGGAGGGGGGGGGGGGAGTCGTCTGTCAGAACCAGTCTCCTCACACGGGGGAGGGCGACTCGTAAAAGACAAGAATGTGAAGAGCTGAGGGAGGTTTAGTCTGAACGATCGCGTTTCATTAACACAACACGCACAACCAGGAGGCTGAGGAATGTGTGTGTGTGTGTGTGTGTGTGTGTGTCTCTCAACACGCTCAGACACGTTTTTGAGCCTCGGGAGGTTTTTTTAATCAAACCTGCAGCTTCTTCGTTTCTACCATGATTGGTGTCATTATGAACATTACCACGTTTGGCTAATGAATATGAATATGACCTATAAATAGTATCACTTTTTAAATTATATTTAATAAGTATTTATTATATATCAAGCGTGACGGATCGATAATCATTACGTGAACATTGACGACGACGATATTTACAGGGTCTCAGTGTACTAGAATAAGAATATATTATCAAAAGCAAAAACTTCTAAATCTAAAAAGAAAAAATATTAAATTAAAACCACATATTTCATATTTACTGAGTATTCAATAATTCCAATGTTATTTTTTTTGTTCACCGTTATTACTTAAATATTTACTTTCTATTTTTATATTTCTACTTTTATTTTTATTGATTGATTTTTATTGAGTTTATGGATAATTGGCTACAATTATAAGGATAATAATAATAATAATTCATTTAGGGTAATTCAAACAAATAAATGAATACTAGATAAAACATCACAAAACTGTCCTTATGTTACTAACTAGTGTCTCAAAGATCCTCATGAATATCTGTGTATTTATTTCTGATTCATCTGATTCTTTTAGAGACCTGTCAATCAGATGTATAAGCCCACCCTAAAGCAGCCAACGTGTGTGTGTGTGTGTGTGTGTGTGTGTGTGTGTGTGTCTGCCTCCTCACCCAGGATCATGGAGACGGTCTTCATCAGGTTGAAGACCGTGTCGCGGTGTCTCCTCTGGCTCGTGTGCTGGGACATCTGCTGGCTCTTGTGCCTGACGTAGAGGAAGATGCGGGTGTAGACGGCCACCATGATGGAGAAGGTCAGCAGGTTGAGGACGCCCCAGAACACCAGGTAGCTGCGGCTGTACATCGGCGCCATGGTGGAGCAGTCGGGCAGGTTGCACAGGCAGTTCCAGCCCATGATGGGGATGAGGCCCATGACGATGGCCACCAGCCAGATGAACACCATGACGACGAATACGCGCCGCGTGCTCATCTTGCTGTGCAGCGTCATGTTGAAGATGGTCTGGTGGCGCTCAACGGCCACGGCCAGCAGGTTGAGGACGGAGGCCGTCAGGCTGGTGTCGATCAGGCCCTGGCGCACGAACCACTGGTCCTTGGTCAGCTTGAGGGTCCAGGGCCCGGTGTGGAACATCAGGTGCAGGTAGGAGACGCCTGCAGGGGGACATCATTAACTAAAGCTTCCTCCTCCAGCATCACGGATCACATGGTCTCTGATCATGTGACATTGTAAATCACCAATCAGTGTTTAGATCAACAAGAGGAGGAGCTAGCAATGTTAGCAGCACCGCTAACAGCTGACAGCCAACTAGGTTCCCTTCAGTAACACGGTGATGCGTTCAGGCTCTGCTCAGTGAAAACGAGTGTTGGCTGTTGGTTGTGAAAGTCGTCCGATGACATCACACTGATCTGCAGCAGGTCCCGTGACTTCCGGCTGGTTTCATCTCCCAAATGCTGCTGATGTTTCTCAACATTTTCTCTGATCAGTCTCCATAAAAACAACACATCTGTTGTCCAGATGTGACACTACATGACTCAGACAACAAACATCTCAGCTGGCTTTAACACAAATAGACCGTACACGTTACATCCTCTACGTGAACCAGCCTCCAGTGGGTCCTGATCCTCTACGTGAACCAGCCTCCAGTGGGTCCTGATCCTCTACGTGAACCAGCCTCCAGTGGGTCCTGATCCTCTACGTGAACCAGCCTCCAGTGGGTCCTGATCCTCTACGTGAACCAGCCTCCAGTGAGTCCTGATCCTCTACGTGAACCAGCCTCCAGTGAGTCCTGATCCTCTACGTGAACCAGCCTCCAGTGAGTCCTGATCCTCTACGTGAACCAGCCTCCAGTGGGTCCTGATCCTCTACGTGAACCAGCCTCCAGTGGGTCCTGATCCTCTAGGTCAACCAGCCTCAAGCGAGTCCTGATCCTCTAGGTCATATATGTCAAACTCAAGGCCAGCGGGCCATATCCGGCCCGGCATGCAATTATATCTGGCCCGCGAGATCATTTTATATTATTGTTACCAATGGCCCGACGATATGAAGCGCTGATAACAAAATAAACTACAGATCCCATAATGCAGCGCTTCAGCTGCCTTGCCGAGCGCTTTCCGTGGCGTTTCTGGCTGACATAACCGCACGTCTCAATGCCTTAAACCTCCAGCTCCAGGGACGCAACCGCATGATCACTGACATGTATGACGCAGTGAAGGCATTTCAAGTGAAGCTGATTTTATGGGAGACACAAATGCACCAGTGCAACTCGCCCCACTTTCCCTGTTGCCAAGTAATGCGGCACAGCGGTGTTCCCAAATACGCACGTTGCTGATAAACTGAGCGCACTGCGCACGGAGTTCGCACGGCGCTTTGGTGATTTTGAGGAACAAAAAAAGAATTTTGAGTTGTTTGGCAACCCATTTGCTGTCGACGCGGAAACTGCACCTGTGCAGATTCAGATGGAGCTGATTGAGCTGCAGTGTGATGGGACACTAAAGACAAAGTACGACACTATTTATTCACTCCAGTCCCGCAACAATGTCCCAGCTCCGTCTACATGCGGCTCGAACCTTGTGCGTGTTTGGTAGCACATATCTGTGTGAGAAGCTGTTCTCAGTGATGAAAACAATACCGCACACAGGAGTCGTCTCACTTATGAGCACCTTCAGTCCATCCTGAGAGTCTCCACAACACGGGACCTCACGAAAAACATAAACCAACTTTGCCAAAAAAAGATACAAAGCATCCAGCTCTGATAAAATGGCATAAGAGCAAAGAAAACTGAATGTTTTGCATCGTTATTTGTTATTTCTGAAAAGCACAAATTTTATTTATAGTTCCAGGTTTTGTTTTGTTTTGCAGCATGTTCATATTTCTAACTTGTATAATTTTGACTGGATATATTTTTATGGAGAGCAAGATATTTTAATTTAAGTTAAGTTTAAGTTTATTTATTGCAGAATAACATTCCTGTCTGTTTGTATTTATATTTATGTTAAAAGAAAATTTTAGTTTTAGTGTGTTCAATAAATGTTTATTCTGTTCGGCCCGCGACCTGAAGTGTGTTTTGAATTTTGGCCCTGTGTGCAATTGAGTTTGACACCCCTGCTCTAGGTCAACCAGTCTCAAGTTAGTCCCCTACATGAACCAGTGGAAGCTCAGTCCTGATCCTACCTGAGAAGAGGTCTGCCACAGCCAGGTTCCCCAGCAGGTAGTAGATGGGGAAGTGGAAGCGTCTGTTCTTCAGAATGGCGGCGATGACCAGGAGGTTGGAGAAGATGACGATGAAGCACACCGTCATGCCCAAAGTGACGATGACGTAGTCGCGGTCCCGCCATTCCTTGCTGATGTTCTTGGCGCTCAACTCGTAGAAGAACTCGACGGAGCGGTTGTGGTAGCACCCCTCCCGGTCCACAGTGTCGGTGTCCATGTCCGGGATCAGAGCGGCGTTGGAGAACGGGAGGAAGAGTCTAGGTTGCCATCGGGACTCGGCCTCTCTGATGCGGAGGAGGTAGGCGGGACCATCAAACGTGGGGAGGGGGTCCCCCCCCTCGGTCCTGGATGCTCGGGTCCCTGAGGAAACATCTAGAGTCGGTTAAGGACATTGGGGACCATCGCTGAGCCACGATTGCTGAACCCTGGGTTCTTTCTAGGTGCACTCTGTATGTTCTCTCCAGGTCTGCGGGGGTTCTCTCGGGGGACTCCCTCAGTCCAAAGACACCTGGTGACTCTAAATTGACTGGTCCCGGTTGTGTGTCTCCATGTCAGCCCTGTGTGACTGGAGACCACCAGTCCAGTGGAGGTGCGGTGAAGATGACTGACTATGCGTGATGATTACATCACATCGGCATCCTGGCGTTAGCATCGTGACGTTAGCATCGTGACGTTAGCATCGTGACGTTAGCATCGTGATGGCCTCGTAGTCTCTGCTTTAGCGCCACCTCATTTATAAATCATCTTGAAACAGATATTTGTGGACTCCTGACTCGCTCCTGCAGAATGTTTTTAGTTCATCCTCCTCCAGTGAAACCGGTTCGTGCATCAGACCGAGCGCGTCCCAACAGGACCTCCGACTGTGACGTCACACGCTTAACAGCTGCCAGCCAACCGCTGCAAACGGGACGCACACTTCCTGCTGGTTCCCTGAGAGAGACACACCTATTGCACAATACAGCTATGTAACTCAATCTCAATCCAAACACACACACACACACACACACACACAGGAGGGGGGAGGAGGAGGGAGAAAAACCACCAACTGAAGAATGTAGAGACACCGAGGGAAGGTTAGAGGACAGGAGACGAGGAAACAACATTTCATTGAGTATCATATGAATAAATACATTAACATTATAAATAATAACATATAACAATGTAAATATGACAAACAATAGTTATACCAACAATAATAATAATAATGAGTAGAGGAAATAATGTGCAATAATTATTATTATCAATAAGCACCATCTTTGCAACACAGTTTAAGTATTATCGTGACAAATGGACAATAACTAGAAAATAAAATAATGGGTGAGTGAGTGGGTGGGGCATGCGTGCATGCAGACAAGAAGTGGGTGGGGCATGCGTGCATGCAGACAAGAAGTGGGTGGGGCATGCGTGCATGCAGACAAGAAGTGGGTGGGGCATGCGTGCATGCAGACAGGAAGTGGGTGGGGCATGCGTGCATGCAGGCAGGCAGGAAGTGGGTGGGGCATGCGTGCATGCAGACAGGAAGTGGGTGCTTGTCTGAGCTCAAACGTCAGCACATCAGACAGATCAGAGGATTCAATTATTGACGCTAGAGATGAATTTAATTTGGAGTCACATTGTCCTGGGGAAGGTTCTCTGGTTTAAACAAAGTCAAATCTACATTCAGACAGAAGGATCTCCATCTCTTTATTTAAATATGACTTAATCATTCATACAAAAACGCGTGTATTACTCCCATGAACCAAAGCTAGTGAGAGAAGACCACAACACCTCGTTCTCCTCGTGGAGACCCAAAGAGGACATCATGGAACTAGCGCGTATTCATCTCCCAGCACGAGGTCGCTTCAGCTGTAACCTCCATCTGAAGGGTACCTGAGGCCTGAGACTAATTAAACAGCCACGGATGTTACGTTACTATATGAATACTTTACTATAATGAGGGTTATTACACACAGTGGATCTCTACACAGAACCACATTATAGATTTAGATGTATTAGAGATATTAACTTTTCATGTCACAACACCTGACCTCTGACCTCTGACTCCAGCTGACATTGAGAAGTGACGCACAGATCAATGCTCAGTGATTGATTGATTGTTCATCTGATATTTGGTAGTAGATGAAGTAGATGTTCATGACTTCTCTTCATATTCAGACATTTACGTTTCACACGCAGATAAACTTAAGAGTGAGAAATGAAAAGTTCTTTACAGTTCTAAGAAATCAGAATTTAAGTGAACAAAAGGAGCCAGAAAGGGATTTGAATGAGAAACTGATGATGATGAAGAAGATGAAGAAGATGACGTATTGACTGACGACACAAGTTGACGGCTGAGACAATAAATTAATGTCCAGCTTTGATTAAAACTAGATTCACACCATTAAAAAGGTTTTCAGCGCAATGAAGTGAATGTATTTGTACACGTTAAAAGGCGCGAAGTATTCAGAAGTACACTGAAGTAAAGAGGACAAGCGGGACCTGCGCAGTGAAACACGCACAGGTGAGACCCGCGCCTGGAGGACACGCGGGTTCTGGGGGACGGACGGGTTCTGGGGGACGGGCGGGTTCTGGGGGACCGGCGGGCTCTGGGGGACGGGCGGGTTCTGGGGGACCGGCGGGCTCTGGGGGACGGGCGGGTTCTGGGGGACGGACGGGTTCTGGGGGACGGGCGGGTTCTGGGGGACCGGCGGGCTCTGGGGGACGGGCGGGTTCTGCAGGAGCCCCACAGGCGCCTCTCGATGAACTCGACTCACCTTTGTTCTTCTGAGTGTCTCGCGTGCGTCGAGGCGCGCTTCCGGTAGATCCGGGTTCCGGTTCGAGTTGAGGAGAAATTAGCGGCTCGGGTCCGGTCGGGGCTCCATTGCTCCGGTTCTTCTCGCTCTTGTGTTCGACCTTTCTGTCCCCTTCGGTCGGGTCGTCCGTCGCTTCCGGTCTACTTTGGGCGGGTTGTTACCTGCGCGGAGGGATCTGCGCTGCGAGAGCAGACAAGGTGCGGCTCGTGCTCCTCGCTGTGGGACCGAGAAGGAGGCGGAGCTGCTGCTGCGGCCCCTCCTCCTCCTGCTGCTCTTCCTCCTCCCTGTGCTTCACCTGCTCCTCTTCCTCCTGCTCCTTTACCTCCTTCTTCATCTTCATCCTCCTCCTGCTGCTCTTCCTCCTCCCTGTGCTTCACCTGCTCCTCTTCCTCTTGCTCCTTTACCTCCTTCTTCATCTTCATCCTCCTCCTGATGCTCTTCCTCCTCCCTGTGCTTCACCTGCTCCTCTTCCTCCTGCTCCTTTACCTCCTTCTTCATCCTCCTCCTCCTCCTGATGCTCTTCCTCCTCCCTGTGCTTCACCTGCTCCTCTTCCTCCTGCTCCTTTACCTCCTTCTTCATCCTCCTCCTCCTTCTGATGCTCTTCCTCCTCAATGTGCTTCACCTGCTCCTCTTCCTCCTGCTCCTTTACCTCCTTCTTCATCCTCCTCCTCCTTCTGATGCTCTTCCTCCTCCCTGTGCTTCACCTGCTCCTCTTCCTCCTGCTCCTTTACCCCCTTCTTCATCCTCCTCCTCCTCCTGCTGCGGCTGCTCCACCTGCTTCTCTTCGTCCTCCTCTTAATCCTCTACATCCTCCTGCTGCTGCTCCTCTTCCTCCTGCTTCCTCTGCTCCTCTTCATTGCCCCTCTCCTTCCAGCACCTCCTCATCCACGTGCTTCTGCTTTTCCATACGGCTCCTCCCTCTTCTTCACTGGCTCCTCCCCCTGCTCCTCCTGAACGATCCCACTTAAATAGAAAAAGCGTATAAGAAGGGATCATATCACCATGGAAACAGAAATATAGAAGAAGCATCATTTTACTTTTAGTCCACAGATTAATTCGTTAATAAGCAAATAAGAGATTTATCTGAAAGTAACTTTGGATTCTACAGACACAAACAGACAAAATCACATTTATGTTTTAATTCCAAGAATTCAAGAGAAGAAATATAAATGTACCCTGAATTAAAAGTCTCAACCCTTCTTAAAACAGGGTGTTACCTGGAACATGGAGATGAGATGTGATGCACCATGACATGATATTTGTACAGCCCAAAACCCTGAATCCCAAATCAGTCTTAAGAGAACTTTACAGTCCATCACATAGAACCACCATCAGGTAGAACCACCATCACATAGAACCACCATCAGGTAGAACCACCATCACACAGAACCACCATCAGGTAGAACCACCATCACATAGAACCACCATCAGATAGAACCACCATCAGATAGAACCACCATCAGGTAGAACCACCATCACGTAGAACCACCATCAGGTAGAACCACCATCACATAGAACCACCATCACACAGAACCACCATCAGATAGAACCACCATCACACAGAACCACCATCAGATAGAACCACCATCACACAGAACCACCATCAGATAGAACCACCATCAGGTAGAACCACCATCAGGTAGAACCACCATCACATAGAACCACCATCACATAGAACCACCATCAGATAGAACCACCATCACATAGAACCACCATCACATAGAACCACCATCACATAGAACCACCATCTTCAATTTAAGGTACTTCAAAAAAAGAAAGGAGAAGTGACATTTTGTGCGTCCGTGTTGTTCACCACCGTTTCCCCTCGTTCACACAGCAGCCTCCACATCTGCACGCCAGTTTCTCAAAAGCCTTCGTTGTTCCAAGAAGGATTTGTTCCGTCTTCTCCCGTCTTGCCTCTCTGACCTCTGACCTCGAGTCTCTCAGTGGAAACGTTTCAGTGGACGTCACCAAGTCTTCTTCTCTTGGACAGATTGAAGAGTTACTTCATGAATTCCCGTTAGCTCGTGTGTAACTAATTAACTCTCTTATAGTTAAACCAAACTGTAGTAACAGCTTGTTGAGTTAAACTCTTTCATCCATTTTGACCAAACAAGTTGTTTCTCATTTGTAAACGTGTTTTGGATCTATGATCATTAATTGCACCGACAGATATTCTGTGTTCGTTCGTAGTCTCACCCGAACATTTGATCAGTTAATGAAGACATTTATCAACTTATTTTCTTTATTCCTTCATCTTGAGGTTAAAATAGCGGATCTGCGTGTTTCTAGAATCACAGAAACATATAAGTTCTCTCTCCTGTGTGTGTCTGTGTCTGTGTGTGTGTGTGTGTGTCTGTCTGTGTGTGTGTGTGTGTGTGTCTGTGTGTGTGTGTTTCACTTCCCTCATCATGTGAGGTCTCAGCATTGGTGGCGTCTCCCCCTCACATGGAGCCTCCTCCTCACCCGACTCACACCAATCAGGTTTCACCATGTGGGACCTGCAGCTTTGGCAGCGTTGCCGTTGGTTCGTGTGGTGAGAGGAGGCCTCCATCATCCCTCCATCAACCCTCCATCATCCCTCCATCAACCCTCCATCAGCGTAAGTGGTGCAGACAAGTGTGTGGATTCAATTGCACGACTCGGAGACACAAGAAGGTGCAGTTAACCAACTTTACTGTTGGATGGCAGTACAAACACGGGTGTAAGAATCCGACAGGAGGCAGGCAGGTGCAAAGTTCGTAAACGTTCCGGTCCAAGGTCGGTACACGGGCAGGCAGTCGATCACCAGGCAAGGTATCCGGCAGGGAAAAGGCAGAGACGTAACTGGTTAACCAGGCAGGGGTCGGTAACAGGGAGGCTATCAGGAGTAAATGCTGGAACGCTAGGAACATGGTGTATCAAAGACGAACTGGCAACAGAGGACAGGAACCCACAGACTAAATACACCGGGTGATGAGGGCCAGGTGCAAACAATCAGGGAGGGGCTGACAATCACCCAGGTGGAACCCACACACCTGAGGGGGGGAGGAGTCTGAAACGAGAGGTGAGTAAACAATAACACATAACCGAAGAATTATAAATAGCCCGCCAACTCAACTTAATACTCAGGGCTGGACATAACAATCATCCCTCCATCACCCCTCCATCATCCCTCCATCATCCCTCCATCAACGCTCCGTCGGTGCTTCCGTCATTCGCTCCATCAACCCTCCACCATCCGTCCGTCAGCCCTCCATTACCCCTCCATCATCCCTCCAGCATGCATCCTTCAGTCGTAGGGAACACTACATCTTCCCTTTGAAAATTCCTATTTTGTATCTTCTTTTTTCCTTCTGTTATTTCTTTTTGATCCTACCATTATCTCTGCGTTAATGCTGGTGTATCTTTTTTTTTTTGATTTTTTTGCGCGGGCGAGGGAGAGGTGGGCAACTCTATATGGGTATTTTTTTTTTTTTCTTTTACTTCTCATGAGGTAATCAGTCTTTTTCTTTTTGTGGGTGGTGTGAGGGATGTTGCTTATTTTTTGCCAGAAACTGTGCCCAAATTTTTTTTTTTTTTGTGTATTTTTTTTTTTTTTTTTTTCTCCTCTCCCCTCCCGTCTCCTCCCCCCCCCTCTCTGAGGGGGGAAGGAAGAAAGACCCCCTCCCCTCGTCCGGGGTGGGTTAATTTTTTTTGTTTTT